CTGTTATTTTCTCTACCCTAACTCAAAATGGGTGAGGTCAATTTGACCGACCTCATAACAACCAAAAAAAAATACTAAATAAATCTAAATTACTCTTTTTTCTTTCTAGAACGACATGAAACTACATTAGTTTATCCTAAATAGCTTTAAGCTTGTAACAGTATACATGTATTTATAATTAAATTTTATTGTTTTACTGCCCTTTTGATTGCCCTTTGAAACACTAATAAGTTGTAAATCATTTGAGGCACGTGCAGCTCACGTTACGCTATCGAGTTACATTATGTACGTGCTGCTCACATGTGTGCCTCATGAAACATTTTTATTATATTATTATTATTATTATTATCTATTCTACCTAATCTAATCATTACTAACCTATTTTTACATTTTAGTTATTTTATAATAATAAATAATGAATATAAATGAAAAACAAAAAATAAATTATTTACCCAATCTTCTTTTTCTTGCTGTCGATTGTTGATTTTACTTAAGCCTACATATTTTATACTAATGGTAGTACATTAAATAATTTTTATTTAATTAAATAATGCACCAAAGAAATACACTAATAACATGCAAAGGGCAGACAATTTCCCCTAACTCTCAAAATTTTTCTGGCTTTCTAACTGTACGACAAGACTGCTACAAATTCATCCAAGCTAGTTGTTAACTTTCCCATGGGAATGAAACTTGTACTCTGAGTGAAATTGATGCTTAGCTGTTCAGAACACAACGTTATACAATACATCATTTGATGGATGAAAACCTTTACTTTCTGTTGGTTAAAGGTAATATATATATAATTAAACATAAAAGTGAACTGTTAACAAAGCCCGAAAGAAAGGCTCTAGCAGATAGGTGTGGCCAGGAGGGGTGCGATTTTTTATTTATAGTTCCGTAACCAAACAAAATTGAAGTCTATAAAAATTATAGTTTGCTTGACCAATATCAGTATTATAGGGAGCAATTTACATTTAATTTTGTACATTTTGAAGGGGTGGTAGATAAAAAAGAGAAGAAAAGATGCCTAGAGAAAATGTGTTACTGTGTAACTCTAAGGAAAGTTCAGGATTTTTTAAAATATTTCCTTATAGAATTAAAAACTTAAAACTTATATACTATTAAAATATGAATTATTATCTAAGTGTTTATGCCATATTAATTGGTATAACATAAACAAAAAGTAGTTTAAAAAAACTTTGAATGTAAGACACTAAAACTTTCTGTTATGCATAGTAAAGGATACCCGAGGTGAAAGGGTTAACCTTTGTCAGTAGATTCATTTTATTTTTTTTGCTGTTTCTGGTTCCTCATATTGTTGACCTCTGGTCACCATTTTTCTAATGTGTTTTGTGATCAGGTTTCACTATGTTTATTTCTTAGTTCCTGTCCTTTCCTTTATGCACTTGATTTCAGCTGCTCTGGACATTAATTCTGTTTTTACTCCTATTTCCATTCCTTTCTTCTGCCACCTTTAGGTCTATATGCTCCTGTCTAATTCTTTGACCCAGCCAGGGCTTTTGGATTTCTAACACGCACACTAGGTTATTCGGTAGATCCCGGGTCAGTATGTTTCTTCACTGGAATCCTACTTTTTCCTGAGAGTTTTTTCCTCCATTCCCCCTTATGGGTTGCATTTGCCAGCCAATTTGCATGGTGTATATTTTTTTCCTTTTTTCTGGATGTTTGTCATCTTTTTCATGTTTTTTCCCATCAGATCTGTCATCTAACCATGTATTTTCCATCATTCCGGAGAGAGGACACCATTGGGACAGGTATATGAGCTACTCTGTTTGTTTTTCATTTCTTTACAGAGGCCTTTTGCTACATATGTTTTGGGTCCCATTCTGTGGCAAGTGGTGCCTGTCCAGGTATATTTAGTATCAAATCCGCACTATACATCCTTTGATCATGCTAGATGATATTAACATCGAGATGCTTCATAGTGGACCTGATGTACAATTCTAGATGCTTCCAGGTGTTGGTAGTTCAACTCTGTCTAATTGTCATCTATGCACCAATATCACATATTATACTTAAAACAATATGACACATCTTAGGTTCATGTTACACACCCCATTGAGATGGGGTATTCTGTAGGACCAATCATAAATATATATCATAGTCTTTTGCTTCATAAATATGGTCATTCTAGACTGTACACTCGTGGGTAAAGCGGATAGGGATTACTGCCCATCTCTGATGTTTAGTGTTGTTGGGTCTCTTCCTACCATGAACCTGATGTTCAGTTCCAGACACTGCCAGGTGTTGGTTGATCATCTCCATCCATGTGGTAGCTCTGCTTTTCGAAATGGATATTTGGGTCACCCATTGCACGTTCTCCAGTGCTGTGGACTTCACCCTCCAACACATTTTGCCCCATTTTCTTCTAGTATAGTATGTGAATCCTTACCAGTTGCTAGCTGCTAAGGTGGTGGACCTTGGGAGTGAAGCAGAATTCCACTCATTTGAGAGTAGGGTGGTGGCATTCTGCTGATGTCGATGGTATGATGCCCTTCCTACCGCAGATCTGATATACAGGTGTTGGTTGTAGCACTCTGCCATATATCTATGTATTGCAGCTTACCACTCCAGGTGAGATATTCCTCTTTCCTTCCATCCTCGGGATGTTGGTTCCTGGCTGGGTCAGGTGTTTGGTTGGACCTAGGGGGTCCAATTAATGATGAATACATTTGTGGTCCATCCGTGTTTCCAGCCTTTCATTTTAATGACACTTTACTCAAGGACAAAGGATATACCTGGCTCAGAAGTGGTGCAGTCTTTCACTGGTGTGATGTTTCTAATTCCTTTTCCACACCACATAGTCTTTCTTTGGGCACTTTCTGAAGGAGGATCATATTATCACCAGCCATCCACCAGTTCAGTGTGGGATTCTAGCTCTTGGTGAGAGGAGGTAAGACATCTCGGAAGTTAACATTTTCCTAAACTGAAAATGTATTTCAGAATAGATACTTACCTCCACTTGCATTTCCCACCCATTCTCCACACTTGTGTGTTGATTGATTTTGTCATGGCCAATCGTGAAATAAATAACAGGTGCATTATTAAAGTGAGTGCTAGTTATGATAGGGTTGCTACATGATCATTTGTATGTAGATAAGCAGAAAGGAGTGAGGGTTACAAGGTTATGGAGAGTGAACATTTTGTGCCATTAGAGAGCAGTACTAAATGAGAAAACTTTTTGTGAGATCAATTCAGAAATACATTTTCAGTTTATGAAAATGTTATTGTCAGTTATTTAATTTTGATGGATTTCATGTTATGTTAAAATCAGTAAATCAGGTCCTTCAAAATGACAGTTTGGTCCTGGAAAGTCCTGGATATTTATTTTATTTTTCCATTAGTCTCTGTGAACCCTAAACTTGGGATCCCATCCTAAATATATATGTGTATGTTTTTTGTATAACATGAACCACAAAAGGCATAATATATGTGTGTCAGTGATTACGAAAAGTAACTTTAGTCACTTAAGACACTTAAGAAGTTTCTCAACAAATTTAGCATTTACATAGAAATTTTGATGTTAGTAAAATAATTAGGTTTTATTACTTTTTTAACATATTGGGTTTTATTAGTTTCATTTAACACAGAATAAATGTTTTTATGTTTCATTAAAAGCCAAAGTGACTGTTGCAATTCTTTGTATTCAAGTTTAAGACTAATACAGGTTTTCAACAGATACAATGGAGCTGGCAAGATAGAAACTTAAGAAAACCAAAGTTAACATATTCCTATAGTGTAAATGTCAAAATGAATTCATTTGAACAAAGGTGCATTTCAACATCATAAAGCAAATAACTGTTGGTCTCATGAATGTGGAATCTCTATAGAACATGTTGAAACTTTTAAGCTGGGTTGGTTCTGATAACAGTTTGTGTGTCAACCAGGTGTGAATGCCATGGCCATGGGGACACATGTGACCCTTTGACAGGTGAGAATTGTAATTGTCAGAATAATACAGAGAATGAACGTCATTGCAGTCAGAAAAATGGGAAGAATTCAGCGACACCTTGCTGGAAATCACAGGTACTTTTCATAGCATGAACTTGTACACTAGTTAATCAGATGGTAGCTACGTTACTGAAACAGATTGGAAAGAGAGAGAAAAAAGCATTTAACTTGCACAGTGTTTTGAAATATTTAGATTAAAGACTTGTAAGTTTTGTATTTTTTGTCATGTTGACTTGAAGAATATAAGAAATACAAAATTTATTTAAGTATTTTATATGTTAAGTGTATGTGATTAAAATATATTTTAGGCATATTGGCATCTAATACTTTGGTAGCTTTTAGTGTTTGAACAGTAGTATATACAAAGTAAAGTTTAGATCCACTATTATGGAACAAATAGTTTTAACACTTTTACATGTCATTTCCAGTCCAACTCTTCCTTGTGAAAGAAATGCACACAGCTTATTTTATAGAGGTTTCATGTTACTTCAGGGCACAAAACATCAGAAAAGCCCAGTGTTCATTACAATGTTACCTTTGAACTTGGATTAATAAAAATTAATAACTCGTAAAAGTCATCATATCTGAAACAGATATTTCAAACACATGGCATGATAACTTTGGAACCTGTTAAAATATAAATTTGATTTTTTAGGTCAATTTATGATTTATTATACAACAAAAACTACTATGTACAGCTATTTACTTCTGAGCTTGACTCTGTAAAATAGGATTGAATGACAATGCTTAGATCATTTTTGTTTTAAAGCTACATAAATATGAAAATGCTGTTTCAGAATTTTGAAATGAATAACATGTTTCATGTTACCAACCTGTTTAGTAGACTGTTATTAAAGCCTTCAGAAAAGTCTTGTAAAAGTTTATTACCGTTATCCGGTATTGTAGTAAACTTATCAACCTACTACGTATGAAAAGTGTGAAGGCCCAACCTACTTGCCAATCTCTCTATTGATATGTTAGACTTGGCATGAGTAGGAAGTGGCCATAGAAATACTGGTAATGTGTGTAAGGTTAGTATTCCATATCTGAAATTGACTAAAGAAGATCCAGGAACACGTTATGATTTCAAGCTAGAGTTTAGACACTTGGTAAGTAAGGCATATGCATAATAGGTGGAGCTGATATCAAGAAAAGAGTAACAACCCCAACGAGTAGTTTAACATTTGAGCATGAATTGTTTTTTATTAGTTTGGAGTTAGCTTATTGGAGGGGTTTTTTTTCCTTATAAATATTTTAGTATTTTGATGTTGGTTAAATTATAATAATATGTATGTGTGAACAATAATTCAACATAAAAGCATAATACCATGTGTTTTCAGTATTCTCAAAGTAAGCATTGTTAGGAAGTAGTTTTATTTGTATGTCATTAGAAAATGAAGTTTTTAAATATCAGAGTTTTGTTATTATGTGTGGTACTTGAGCATGACCTTGAATTTTGCAGTGTGCCAAGTGTAAAGAGTATTTTCTTGGTCAACCCACTGATGGCCATCAGTGTTATCGTCATATGTACATGGACAGGGATTACTGCTTTGATCCTTTCACCCAAGGTTTGTCCAGGTTTTTGATAGTAATGTGAAAATGAGTTATTATATTTCATATTATCTTTTTGTTTTTACTCTGAAGTTCTCTAAAAAAACTACTGATGTTAAAAAAAAAAAAAGGTTTGATACCTAGAACAATTATTACAAACTCGTGTGTTTTGTGACATTTTATGATGAAACTGAAACTTTTTGTTTTTGTATTATACTGCTATAATAGTACTACAATTAGAAAAAAGTATTTACCATAACTAATAGATTGAATACTTGAATTGATGGTCAAGTCAATAAAATTAAAATGTTTTAATCGTGTATACATTTCAGTGTTGCTAGCCATCTTTCTTTTATAATACTTTTATAATTTTTTTGTGAGGTATATCTGTAATTCGATTAAGTTTCTACAAAACATTAGTGCAGCTGAAACTTTAGGTAGATTGACAGAACATATAGAGGTGTCGTATTCAGTTGTTTCTTTAAACAGTGATGTTGGTTATATTAAGCCTGTTGAAATATTTAAAAATAAAGAAGCACATTATTCTCATCTACTATTATTATTTGGTCACATATCATCAGGATTTTGTATTGCATGCCAGGTAGGTTTTAGTTAGGCCTTTGTAATTGCTTGTAATTGGCCGAATGCTAAAACTTGGCAAAATGAAATATGTGGATAAGGATAAATGAGAGCACAGTATAGATTTCACTGTGTTTGTATCAAATATATTGCAGTCAAAACAGCATTTTAAAAGTACCAACTTCAGTTGATAAGATCTAACTTAACTGGTGACAGTACAGTATGGGCTTAACTTTATATTTTTTTATTACTTTATTAATCAACTGTAGACTTTACCTCACAGATTCCCCAGTGTACATAATGTAAGGTTATTAATGTCATTGATTAAAAATGTACACCAACTAAAATAAAAATTTTAAAAATTGCTCAGTATTTCAGTGATCACCAATGGCAAACAGTGGGCTTAAGTTTTAGTGTGTGTCTATATGTATATACACATACACAGAGAAAAATAACCCAAAGATGGTATGTTAAAAACTGTAATTTTTGATAAAAGCTATCCTTTTTAAACTTCTGTTGGAATAGGAACCAGTATCAATAATTTTAACACTTTCACAGTTTATGTTATGATCTATCAAAAATATGTTCAGCAATAGTGGAATCAAGAATTTTTCATATTTTGAAAGTTGATTTAAGTTCAGAAATACGAGATTTTAACAGGCCTGATTTAAGTGTGTAGAATGTTTTTTTTCTTAATCACACTCAGTATGTTAAAAATTACTTGTTGCACAGTTTTTAATGGTTTTATTTTATCTGATGCATATTTTTAATCAATGGTAGTTTTATAATCCTAGAGAATTAGATTTTTGTAAGTCTTTCAATACATTTTTGTAAGTCTGGTGACGATGACCTACTTAAAATAATTTTGTGCACATAATATTTTATTTTTCATTTACAAAAACTAGATATAATTTGCAAGTTTATCTATGCTAGTCTATTTTAGGATAATTTTGATATAAAATTTTTTAAAGTGTGCTTATTTTGCAGTCTTGAGACTTAATATAGGTCTGAAATGTAAATAATAAACATACAGTAATGATATACTTTTATTTGTTTCAGATAAAATTAATGGGAGACTAATTACTTACTACCTGGTGTCAGTTATGTTCTGTTGAATACAGTTATTAAGTAAACTGACCTTGATGAATATTTGGTGAAAATATGTTGGATTTAAATATGATATATATAAATATTTGTGAATAATTGCGGGTGGATTTTTTTTTCCAGATGATTGCAAAAATCCTAGCTCACTCCTTCAGGGCCAAACAGTGTTTTTTGCAGTTCAGCCACGTTTTATGAATGTAAACATTCGAGTATTTGTGGATGTTACCATAGGAGGTGTAGATGTGTACTTATCATCCAATAGGGAGAGCTTTGTGGTAGAAGTGAACAAAACAACAGGTGTTCACATTGTTTATGTTGATAAAAAATTTGAAATCGTTATGGAGTCAAGTGACAGAGAAACAGATTTTTTTTTTGCTGAGAGAACTTTTAGACCTGAGAGGCTAAATTTTCAAGACAAATTATCAGGAAAGCATTCTAACCAAACAGAACCACCCCCAACTGAACACTTGAAGCTTAATGAACTGTGGGCTAGGGGATTGACCACCTATGCATTCTTGAAAGATCCTAGTGATTTTCTTGTAATTCGAGGTTTGCAGAATAGGCTTGTAATGACTATTCCACAGGAAGTTCATAACCTGGGAAAAGACCGTTTCTATATGATTTTGCATGGAGTAGGTAGTGAAAGTTCTTCAGATACTTTTGGGAGTCTTTTCTTTAAGCAAGAGCAAACTAAAATAGATCTTTTTGTTTTCTTTTCTGTGTTCTTTTCATGCTTCTTTCTTTTCCTGGCTATTTGTGTGATTGTGTGGAAAGTCAAGCAAGCCTTCGACCTTAGACGAGCACGTCGCCTGCATGCTGCCGAGATGAAACACATGGCAAGTCGTCCCTTTGCTTCTGTGTATGCTATAATTGAGCCAGAGCCTGAAGAATATGAATATTTACCATATTCTCCCAAAAATTACTCTAAAAAGACAAAATATAACAAGTATCACAATGGTAGAGACTCTCCTAAAGTTGTATTAAATGAACGATACTATGTAAGACCTGTGGCCATTGAGCCTACAGATGATGGTGTTGCAGCTATTGCTACAACACTCATTTTGCTTCCAGGAGGAACTAGCGCACCTGTTCGACTTGCCTTGGGCTCAGGACTGGTCACTATGCGAGGAATCTATCAGTGTGTGAACATTAGGTCAGCAATGAGACGAAGTACAAGCCACGTGACTTTGTGATACTGTTGCAGATAGCTTACTGTCACAGTACTTCTGTACTGGTTGGTAATTTTTCTGTTTAGTTCTGAGTATTGAAGAATTGCTTTATACATGTTCCAAAGTATGAAAAATTAAAACTATCTGCTCATCCCTTGCCAAAAGACTTTTTCAATTCTGCAAAAGGAATGTCATATTTTACAGCTTGATAAAATTAGTGATGATAGAAAGTCAGCCATAGCTTCCAGGACTATCCTACCTCAGTTACTGTAGTTGATAAAAGTCATATACACTTCTCTTATACGTGTTAAAAGTGAAGATAAAAATTTACATGTTATGTTCTAACATTATATTTAGTGTTATAATCTTCTGCATCTCTTTTTTTTTTCCCACCTTTTTATTTACATTACAAACTAATGCTTCTTCTGCTCCAATATTAAGGGTGATTGATAATTTTTCTTCTATGCCAAGATTAGAAGTGCTGATTAAAAGCATCTGCATTGTTATTCTTTTTCAACCATATGAATGTCAACTGATGTGTGCCAACATCAGAAATGCAAAGAGACAATTCTTTGTACTTGTTACTTAGATTATTAGGAACACGCATCAGGTTTTTGTAGTCTGTGTCAGTAAGCTTGTTGTCTTAATTTTCATCAGCATGTATATAGAGTAAATACAGTATGTACAGTTCTTTGTATTCTTTATGTTGACGGTACTGCATAATGACAACACTTCATGCATTACTCAGAGTCCAAATTAAAAACATGAACTTACATCTTCTATATCTTTTTCTGCTCTTTGTTGAAATTCCTTTCTTCCTGCTTGAAAGTAAGAAAAATTTGATTGACAAAGTAAGAAAACAACAACAAAGAACTATAAATAGAAAGTAAGGAAAATCCAATTCTTGTTCTTTTTTTTCTGAATAAATGTATCACATGAGGAAGAAAAATTGTTTTGACAAGTTTATTTGTGGTAGGGGTCTCTACAAATCAGAAACACCAGTCTAGCTATGGTTGGATAAACAGTTTTTATATTTCATTTTGAAGACATCATGTTAGTTGTAAGGTGTTGAAGTAGTGTAAAATTAGAATGGGACTGATTGTTGAAATACATTAATAACATTTTACTTGTTGCTTTGTGTAAATATCACATAGCAGTACTTTCCTGCTTTTTTATAATCAGTTTTGCAATGGAAATATTACAGTGTTCAGTTTCAGGGTATGCCTAAAATTTAAAAGTCTTCGTTGTTAGTATGTTGTATATATATCTAGACATATTAACTTCAGAGCTTGAAGATATTAATAGTTTTTTTTTTCTCACAGTTGAATATTTATACACAAGCACACATATTTCTTGTAATTAATTTTTCATCTCATGAAGGACTGAGATGAAGATGTACTTAAGGTGTTTGATGGGGTTATCTGCAGCTTTTGGAATATAAATTTTTTCCTGTACTATATGTTGGAACCATTTAGAGCTATTCCAGAAAAAATTTAAGAATTGTACATAATATATATTTTTTCTTTAATTGTGGAAAACGTCTGTGTATTATAGAAACAGTTTTCTGCTCAGCTTGTAAGAATTTAAATGATTAACTAAATTAAATGGATTACCCAGATTTACATTTCATATACAAAACAATTAGGTTGGTATCTTTCTTTCTATTTATATGTGAAAGGTAACTAACAGCTTTTTGGAAACCACAACAATTCCAGCCATAATATTTATAACAGTTTACTTTCCTGTAACCAAGCCTATAGCATACAGTAAGCATTACTGATATGACATAAAACTGTTGGCTAAACTGCCTCGGATAGAAAAGATACACCTCTGGTACATCCAGTATTTGTACCATACATTTTATAAAATTGCTTCTGATGGCTCCTTTATTCTTATATTTAATTTTTTTTCTTTTTGCATAAACTGTTTATTGTTTTACATTGAGAACATTGTTGAAAAAAGAAAATATTATTGTTATGGGAATGTAAGTTCTAATGATATGTACATTCTGTTATTGATAGTAATAGTTATTCTTGGAGTAAAGTTACTTTAAACGTGGAATAAAATGATAAAGGATATCTTTCTTTACATTACAACATATAAATTTATTTTAAACAGAAATGTGTAGGTACTAAATACTTGGTTGTGAACTTTTCATTTGTATAAGTGGTGTAAATAATAATAAACTTTATTTCTCCAGTGTAGTCAAGTTAATGTTTTTATTTCCATAATGCACAATAAATTTATTAAGTGATTTTTACCTGACAAACGATGCTTTGTGATCTGAGTTGGTTTCATTCAATTAAGAAATTTTTTCTACTTAATGTGGTTTAATAGCTGCATGAAGGTTTATAGGAACAGTTTGCAATTCCAACTTAATGCTAGCTTTTCAAGCTTTTTTTATGTAGAATCAGTTTAATTTACCCAAAACACTTGGTAAGTTTGTGACTATAATATGTAGCTTTATGCCTTTTAATTAATCTTTAACCAGTCAGTACAAGGTTTTCAAATTGTAGTCTGTATAATGAAGCTTCAAGTAATCCTACTTAAATTCTTTTTTTTCTCCATCCTGTCATAGATTTTTTATACATTTTTTTGTGAAATTTATAAAGAAAAATTTAAACACTCCTAAAACATTATTGTTCATTAAATCATACAATTCATGTCACTTGCATAATATTACAATTTGTTTTTGTACAGTCATCAAGATTTGGAAATTTTTATGTCAACATCCAAATGTACTTGTGCCCCATATTTATAGATACTGAACAAATTGCAGCCGTGGCTAGCAAAACAGTGTTAACGTGGGGACTGGAATATTTGACTTTTAAACATATCTAACAAAAAGTTATTATATATAAATTAGAATACCAGTAAAAAATATATTGGCTAGAGTTTTCCATCGATGTTGAAATCTGTTGTAATTATGAAAGTAAACACATAATTTTCATTTTAGTTCTATTAACTCTAGGCAGAATTTTCAGTGTCCATTTTATATGTTTTTTTGCAAACGAGAGCAACTGATCCAACCACACTCCGAGTAGAGGCTAAATTTCATGGCTGAAAATACTTGAAGTTTAATTAAGTTACATTGGAATAAAAAGTTCTGAGGTATAGCAATAAACTAATTATAAGTTATAATATAAGGTATAGTAAAATTTGTGACATATGTACCATTGGACAACAGAAATTGAAGAAGTATTTTGTAATATCTGTTCATGCTATTTATATGCTAGTAATTAAACTGTTAATTACAGGCTGAGGCACCATGTTGAAATATAAAGGGTTTATTAACCAACAGGCTTTCCAGCTCTTCATCAGGGGGAAATTGGTTATGTAAGAAAACCACAAGCTTATATTCATATTGTTGCTAAGGTGCATTTCAACAGTATTTTATGTCTATGTTAGTGGCTACATAAATATTTATTATGTCCATTTACCAGTAATATGTACATTCACAATGTTGTTAAACTAACATAAGGATATTGGTGTGAATACAGTTAATGCATATACAATTAATACATATATAAGGTTAGACATTATAAGAAGTAATAAAGGGAACAGTAAATAGAGGGTGTGAAAGAAATGAAGTATCCTGTAGAAATGATATATAGTAGGATTGTTTGCTGGTAGGATTATGAGGCTCCATATGAAGCTGATTGTTGCTCATCCTGCATTTATTATTGACTTCTTTTTATGGACTTGTGTTTTTAATTGAAGACCTCTCATTTCCCTCCTGCTGTCAGTACATTCTTGAGTGAGAATTGTGGGACTTTCTCAGTCTATATCTTTGGTACACAGCATTCTATGTTCTGTGATGACAGGATTATCAAGGGTGCTGGTAGTTCCTGAAGTCTAACAATTAATGGTTGTTTTGTCTGATTATTATTTGCAGCAGTTACACTATATTTAGGTAGGTACAGGATATTTTACCCTTGGCCAAATCTGAGTGTTCTCTATTTTGTAGACAGTCCAAATTCTGTGTTTGTCACAAATTTGGCAGGTTCTTTAAATGAAAATCCTGGTCATTTGTAGAGCTGGGCAGATAGTGGTATTTGCTGATCAATTAATCAACAACAGCAGTTCAAAATTAGTGACAGTGACAGATAGCTTTGTGTTTTTGATTATTACAAGAATTGATTGATCAAAATTATGATTAAGTTATTACAAGAATTGATTGATCAAAATTATGATTAAGTTGGTTGTCATGAATATAATCTTATCTAAATTAGGGTTTCTGATTGTTACCATCTTCAATTATTACAACTATCCAAGTAACTGAAATATTGCCACCAAATCTGCTTGCTCGCTCTGTCTTTATTATGGCAAAGTTACTTAATTTGGATTGATTTACTTGTAATTTCAATTAATTGATTATTTTGTGTGACACTAAATGATACAATTGCTGCCCATAGGTACTTGATTAAATTTCCCAGCTATAGTCATATGGTAGAATGGTGAATAGACTTAATCAGTAATCATGTATGTATAAATATTGATCATGGTTTTCTCCATAATTTATTCGAAATTTTCAAAACATTTTTCCATTAGTTTTGTAAATATACATGAAGAACATTTCTTGAAAGAGGTGGAAAGCTTTGTGTTAATAAAACCTTTATATGCATGTGTGGTGCTTCAGTCTATAAGTTTTCTTTTAACATCAGTGAAATCTTTCATTTAGGCTTTACCTACTTGAAATGATTATCAGTTGTCCTACTTAATTTTTTATTGAAAAAGATGAAGATCAGATCTCACTATGTTTGCAAGTGATATATTAAGTTTTATAGTACCATATTAATTGATAAATGCATTTTGTTTTTGAGATAAACTAGTTTTATAACATGTATTCACTCTCATTCTGAAACCGTATCTAGGGTGAAATAAATGCATGTGTTCATTTATTTACTTAAAAAAAACAAAAGATTTAATTTTGTGTTTGTACTGCATTAATGCATATGTAAAGTCCTTACTTCTTGGTTCCAGAAGACTCGTCCATAGCAATTTAAGGTTATTACAAACAAGAATACATCTCTGAGCTGGTAAGGGCTAGAAAGAAATACTCCTGCATGTTTCAACTTACAGAGGTCATGTCAATGCAAAATTGTCCATGCTAAACAATCTGCTTGTACATAAAAGTTTGGCCACCATACCTACATTTTTTTTTTTAATCCATATCTCAGCTGGACATAATGGAAGGAGCTTGTACACCTCATGTGATACAGTCATTTGAAATTGCTGGCTTTCTGTCAATTTTTCTAGTGTATCTGATGACAGTCTGTCTAGATAGCTGAACATTGGCAAGACCACCAATAGGCTTGCCAGAACTCTGAACAGGCTGTCAGTCTGAGAGAAGAGTAGCAGCCTGTGTACAAATTCTTAACTGTGTCATCTGTTGGTGCTAATCAGAAGACACATATGCAATTTTTTGGCAACCCATACATCAGATATGCATTTTCAAAACCCTAATGTGAACTTATGAAATTAACACTGATAAATTAAAATTGTTTACAAAACACAACTTCATGGATTTAAAGTAACAGCTCAACCATACAATACTCATCTCTTTTATAAACTGCTTGTACCATCTGCAGAGAACTCCATCACAAGGAAAATATGCTGAATATCACTTCATGAGCCAATCTTCCTTTTTAAATGTTATTATATTAAACATCTTCAAATACATAAATAATTTCTGTATAGTTTTTGTAAATATTTATGCTATATTAATATTGGGTGTGTTTCAAGCTATAAAAAAATCAGGATGTTAACTGAAATTTATTGTTAATTGATAAAAAAAAAAGTTTTCTTGAAGACAACAGAAAAATGCCTTTTATGTCATTAGTTGAAATATTACTTCTTAATTGTTTCTTTTATCCTATGCTAGGATAAATTTGGCCTTCCATTATATTAATCAAGCTTGAAAGCATGTGTAAAAAAAGGTGGGGTATTAGGCATTAGTTTTGCTGTTTTTCTCTGTAATTGTAGTTGAAGTTAGTATATAAGTAGCTAGTTAATACCTGGTGTGTTCCATATTACTTAAATCTTATATCTGATGTCAGTTTGCATCTTGTTATCCCCCACATGTATGTAAATTGTTTGTGGTGTACATTTATTCCTAGCCAACATGGTAATTGTGTTATTTCTCAAGATTTTGGGTTCTACACGATGTACATAGCATTTATAGCTGGATTAATTAGGCACAGCTATATCCTGTGATCTTAGGTGTTTCATAAGTGATAGGATGTTTTCAGATGACCTTGTTAAGCAGAATTATTGTTGTTTCCTTAACCACGCATACAGTACTTTTGATGTGATGTGTAATTACGTAGCACATTTTCAGGCTCACTGCATTTCATTATAATTTTGATCCTTTCTTTTCATTTTATATAAAGTTTATGCAATTCTAATATACTTGATCTCCCAAAGATGCTACAAATGATAATGCTTTAGTTCCTTGTGAACAGTTTCTTCAAATCAGCATAAAAATACCAATTGTTTCTTAAAAAATAATTCAGAATTAATTAGACAATAATGAAAAGATACTTTTTGCGAGTTCAGAAGTGAATTCTAATTCATGACCAGAAAATATAAGAAATCTGAGCATCTATCGAATGTATAACCTTTATAAAGTGGTAACTTTATCATAGATCAGAAGACTTTTTCAGATTTTTTTGTTCTCATGAACAGTTTGTTTTAAATAGTTGCTTAGTAAATTATTTGCTTTTCATGAAGTATTTTATAATCTTGTATAAAATGTTTCTTTATCAAGAATTGCAGTATGGGAATTTATAGCAAATTTAAGAACCATTACTTCGTCCTTAATAAGTCAGTGGTAGAGTTGTTAAATGTTTGTTTACATTACTTTAACTATTAAGTAATAGACATTAGTAGGTTTTATCAACATGTCAATCAACGTAATTTTAAAAATTATAATAGATGCAAGGTTTTTATTAACATTACACAAATGGAAATTACAGCTGCATTTACAATAATTGTCTTGTTACTAAAGTGGAGAACTTAATTAGAATTCCATAATAAAAAGTCAAGTATTGAATAGATTTACAATGAGAAACCTCAAAGTGGATGTTGTGCTGTTAAAGAATAGGATTAGAGTGGTAAGATTTGAAAACTTGCAGTTATTAAGTTGTTATAGCTGGTATAAAGGAATTTGAAACTTGTGATTTGGACTATGTCATTAAAGTTAATCTAGTAGCATTAAACAGAAGTGATTAAGAATGTGCTGTTATGGATTATGCAGTGCAAGGGTATTAAACCCCTTATTGACAATATGCACGTGTAGGCTTCTCCAAGAACATCTTTTAAATCAAAAAATTAAAATGGTGACACCAATAAAAACAATGTTAGGAAATTACTTTCTTCCTGTTTTATGAGGTAACACCCCCTAGTACTTTTATGCATGGGGTCATTTATTTTCTGTCAGCACCCCTGCAGTGGTATTATATACTTATTAATAGGATTAGGTATGTGAAGTACCATTGTGGTCAGATGTTATCTTGCAAGGTTGACACATTACAAGTTCAAAGCAGTTGTTGGAACTTGAACTGCTTGAATTTCATTCATCATAACCAAAGACCTCTAGCAATAGTAAAATGTGTGTTATGGTTTTAACATTTTCCCCCTTGTAACAATGGGGAGATAGCAGCTACATTGTGCATTTTGTAAAAATGTGTACAGATATATATATATATATATATAAAGTTTATATTCAGACAAAAGCCAAAGTCGTGATTAAGTATGACTTTGCTTATGTCTAGATATCATTCCTCAATTTTGTGTTTTTACTAAACATAGTTATGTAAATTATATCTTGTGTTGTATTATCATGCATATTTGCTGGCAAGAAGAATCTCATGCATTTGTAAAAAAAATTAAATTTCTTCCTCTATAAGTAATTTATATTATGTTTAAAAAATTCAATTATTATTAAATCTAACATTTGGAACTTTTTGAGGACCAAAATGATTTTGATAATGTGCATAATAATAAAACATGTTTTTATTAAAAGTTGAATTGTTTCACTCTTGAAGTCATTCCTTCCAAGAGTTGTGTACCTACTTGGTTGTGGTTTTCTAGTGTTGGTCCTTGCAAGAAGAACCCAGCAACATTAACAATATTTTATGTCATCAAGATGGACTTTTTTTTTTGTTAGGCTTAGTCAGTAGCAGCAGCGATTAGAGCTGAGAGTATTTTTCATGTCAATATCAATGCACATTATGTATTTTGTAGTAGATCAAAAATTATTTCAATCTTGTGCCTACAAGTTTCTTCTTAGGTAAAAATGGATGTTTATGTACTTCCATCAGTGTATGTATGGACTATTAATACATGATCAGTGAATAAATTTGAACTTGCATGAATTGGTATTGAATTTGATTGAATATCAATAAGCATTGCTACAAGAATACATTTCTTTGTGGTCATTAAAAACTTAAATAAGGATCCAACTACCAAATTTTGTATTACAAATACAACTGCCTTAAACATGTAGCTAAAGGACTTGTTCAACAGCTGGTTTTAACAAGAACTTTCATTTATGTAAAACATAATAATGCTCAGCTGTTCGTTGAATTAGGTTTTGGGGCAACAAAATATTCACCAAAAAGTTTTTAATAATGTAAAATATATACAAGTTATTGTTTAGTAAATTTAAAAAAAAATTCCATTTAGATCCCCCCCCCCCACCCACACACACACGTCTGAGAAAAATGTAAGCATTTAAAAGTTACAGATGGATCAAACATTTTTACACTCATAAATATAAGCTACTCAGTATTTTTTAAATAAACCATTAAACTATAATTTGCAAATTTAATTTTTAACTACATAGAAACATAATAGAATGAAATATTTATAATTAACTTATTATTATTGTAAAATAATAGTGTATTAACAGTACATAAAATTACCTACGATACCAAATTTGAAGAATTTTATTTTTAAATACCTGGTTTCTCAAATAGTTTATATCCTAAAAAAATATTACTAACAAGTTAAAACCTTAAACATTTGTATATGCTTGTTAAAATAACATCTCAAAAAGTATTAAAACAATTTTGTACTAGTTAATAAAATGTAGCTAATAAGAATTGAAATAAACCAATTCTCGTATTAAAAATTCAGATTTTGACACTGAATTTGTGCAATTCATTTTCAAAAAAAAATTGTAAGAAAATAAAGTTAACAGAAAATGGAACCACAATTTCTTTTCTTACAGTTAATACGAATTGCGAGGTACAGTCAAATATAGTAAAACAGAACTTTGTCAAGTATCCAATAACTATAAACATGCTGAACAACTTGCAGTTTATGCTCATTTAGTAGGAAATTAACACATATACTCCCCCAAATGACCGTTTTGTAAAAGAAAGTCTTTTAACAAAATATACGTAATATCATGCTTTGGATGTGTAGTTGCCCAACCATGGTCCATTTTCTTCCAAAGAGCCAATCAATGGAAGCACAAAACAATATGATGTGTCCATTGAATAAGATTCATCTGATCAAATCTTCAAGAAACATAAAAAGTCACTTCTGGTTCATCAAAAAATGAACCAAGTACACAGTTGACACTTGTACTTGAAGAGTTTCAAGTTTTAAAATTTTGTGTCAGTGTTTTCAACTACTCTCTTATTCAGGATGTTCCTCTGTATGAATATAACTTTAACCTGAAAAATTCTGACAAAGACACATCACAGTAATACCTGTACATATATTGCAGGACCTTCCTACCCTTCTAATGTCAATCTTATGGTAACACATATGAAATGAAAGCTAAAGATACAAAGCATGTATATTATTTATGAATATATTTAAGAAAGAATTAGAATAAATTATCCCTCATTATCTCTTTCACCTTGGGCGAATCTTTTCAAAGAAAAACCTTTGTCCTCCATCTTGAAGGACACCTCTTTTTTCTATCAGTGTTCTTTTCTTCATAGCATGAAATTGTTTAAGAGTAAACTCATAAAAATCATTTTCCATGCTCCATATTTTGGAACTCTTAATCTTACGGACAGTTTCTGGGGCAGGATCAACTTTGTTGTAAGTTTTCCTTAGGTGCGACTTCTTACCTGTCCAATAAAAAATTATTTTAAAATACAATATACTTTTAGTTTCAAGAATGACATGAAGATACCCTTTGTTTGATTTAAAATTGATTCTAAGATAACACTGAGTTTAAACTAATAAATTAGAAATAATGTGTATTTATCACTGTAGTAATGTAGTAATTTGTTCAGCACTGTGTTCATTATTTTCCAGGACTGATGATTATGATGACTTGGGCCTGTTGAATTGCATTTAATAAAATTTTGAACTAAAATGTGATGGTGAAACAGTTAAAAAATTCAATGTCCACATTTTTCTGCTTAATATGGACATTGGATGTCTGAATTTCTGATATAAATGTTGAATAAGTCACCATGAAGATAGCAAACGTTTGTAATGAAATGCAAGAGAGTAAATATAAAATAAAACCTGCATAAGGGATGCACAATATTTAAGAAAGAAAAGAAAACCAGAAGTAATTAGTCTAAGTTCAGATGTGATTATGACAAGTAAACTTGACAAAATATTGCACAAGTTTTCAATATTTCTACTGCTCACTTTGATAACTTTTTTTTTAAATATTGAAAAGAGTACTTTCTAAGTTTTTGTATTTACAGTCTTACAATAAGGGACTTTTAAAGCCCTATAGTAGGATACAAAAGACACTTTTTTTCACTTGAATTCATTTTTGACATGACACTTGAATGTCAGTCATCTAAAGTCTGCCCACTTAACTGCTTTATAGCAGCACAGCACACACATATTTTTGTCCATAAACTTATAGTTACATTCTTATACTAAATTATGCCTACAACTACTGCCATACTAACTTTTATCTACCGAATCTATAGCTGCACTATTGCCCTTAGCTCCAATCACACATAGCTACAATGTTATAGAACACTATACCTTCACCCATCTCCACCTCTTGGATATACAAGTAAACTGCACTAACCTTTAAGGAACTGTTGTGTGGCACCATGAAAGAATCTTGGTAGAACAACTTCGAGTAATGCCACAAAATCCTCAAGTTCCTCAGTAACTCCTACCACCATGTAATGCTCTACGAGGTTCTGCTTTGACTGGGCTAGAGCCCAATTATTTCCTGGTTCCCTGGCATTATAAAGTAAGTTCATTCTATTTGACATCAGAATGTTAATGCAGTGAATGAAAAAAAAAGACAATTTTGGTTCAACCTCTGATAGATACTGTACATACTGAGACCCCCCCCTCAAAAAAATGTTTTTCTTATAAATAAAATTCATCTTGAATACAAAATAATGGATAGTATAACATCAATGAAAATTCAATCAATCCAATTTTTGATAATTCAATTACATTAAATGTCCTTTTCCTACTACTGTATTTTTACATTAAACTTCCAAACTTTATTCAATAATTTAAACTTCTTAATATACCATATCAAATGTTTATTTTACATTTTACCTATACTATTCTTTAAAAAAAGTTAGTCGAAATTATTTCATGGTTTCAGACAGCTTCACTTTTATTTATTTTAAAAATAGTTTTTAATTTCCAATAATTTTTTATTAACAAGAATTAAGCTAATTGCAAATACAAATAGTTTTTAGCACAGTTCAAAATTAGAAAATATTTCTTTAATCACCAAAAACTGTATATATTTTTAAAACTACAATGGAAAACAGTTCGTAAAATATTTGTGAAAACACATTTATAAAATCACACCTAACAGAATTAACGACCATGTTTAATCCTGCAGTATAGATTTCATTGCTAAAGGCTCCATTGTAAGATTGTCATGTTCAAAGTACACACCTTTCCCAGAGCCCATTTCAACAGTCCAATGTACAAAAATCCATAACAGCTACATCAACAATTTGAACAGTATGTCTTCATGTGGAATAGCATGAATACCTCACTTTCATTTTCCAGCTGCTTGAGGTATATGATGTTGTGAAAGCAACTTGTGTATATGTGACTTATGTCACTCTTTCTATCAAATATCCTTTTCGATTATGTTGTGCACTGTTTCATGGAACATGTGGACAGCTTTTTCTCCTGACTTTTGTGTTCTTGGATTCTCACCTGTTACAAGATGCTACACTTTGCTAGAAAATGATTTGTTGCAGGTTTCTTTATGGATAGTCCTAGTATCCTAAGCTGATCCATATTCCTTTGTTTTCTAATGTCATTAAGTACAAAGGATACCCTTATCTTGGAAATTTTAAATCCTCAATCTGAATATATCTATATGACCCAAGTATACAAATATCGTTCACTGGAAAGGGCTGTCACATACCCTTCTCAACTGCAATTAATTTTTCTTGACATCACACTACCTATAAAATGCCAAACAATGTAAAGACATAGTTCTGATAATGCTGTTCCACAAAAATTTGCTGATTTGCATAATCATAATAGTTTCAATATAGCATATTAAACCCTCTGTATATTATAAGCATTCTGTTTAAAAATGGTATTATACATGCTCAATATCAGTACATTATAACAATGTTTCATATATACCAAATTAGAGATATCATGGTAAAGTAAAACAGCTTGTGTACCTTGCAAGTAATTACCTATAATACTAAAATGGTATATTGACATATGAATTCATGCTACACTACATCATTCTGATCCAGTAAAATGTATACAGCAGCTTCACTAAAGTGATGAGATGAATGATTGTTATGCAATAAGTATGCCATCGCACACTTAAAACAAGAACAAAGAGGTATACATGTAACCATTTGAAAACTGTATAGTTCAACATTATTTAAATTTCTTTGATATGCATATAATCTTATACATCAAAATATATAATTCTGTTTTGTACTTCTAGGATAGAAAAAACAACAACCAGGCTTTCCTAATGGGCCATTTAAGATGTGCTAAACCCTCTTTTCACTGAGATTTTCATTAAAATAACCCCCCTTTTTATGGCCCATGGAGTGATTCAATAAAATACCCTTTTTTCATCAAAAATCAGGATTCGACTATATACCCGAGAGGGTGTGAACACTGACATGACCAGGATGGTCACAACGATGATGACATATTCTTTGATAGATCGTTTCTTTTTCACCAGAATGGATCTTTTGAAACATCGTCCTCTACACTTGTGTTTCTACAACAGGCAGTTGCCATCCATTCAAATAAGTTTCATCATGAATACTCTGCTTAAACAATCTATCAAAGAATACCTGAAGAGCTGCTATGGACCAGCCTCTATCAAGATCAACAACTACAATAAGAACTTTACCAAGCTTGCACACTGCTCTAATCACCAGAGATTCAAACATCATCCCAAAGTTTCTGATACTCAAAGAAACTACTTTTGCTAGAACTACAAAGATAAAAAAAAGTTCTCGACAATACCTTCTAAGATTACATATAGAATATAGATGCAAGAAGCACCATCTAACTAACACAACTGAAACATAATATGCTGAGCTTCAACAACCTTTCATGAAAAATATAAGAGCATTGGGAATCTTAAACCTCTACACCAAACATTATACATCCAACCTAGAAAGCATCAAGAAGAAACAAGTTCAAAAATTCAGCAGACTTACCAAGATAGATAATCCTAAGATTACCAACATAGTTCACAATTGCAGTTTGATATTACTAAGCGATACAGAAAACAAGATTCTCAACCTAGGTCTAAACTTTGCCATACAACCTAGCACAGTTCCAACTGTTGACATGGCTGCAACCTTAGAATCTGCTACACAAAACCTCACGAAACCTATGGCTGAACAATTCAGACAGCAAACTTACACCATCCTCAGGGATGCCAAGAAACCAAACATCACTAAACAGGAATGCAGTGCACTGAACCATCTAAAACGAGATAACAATATCAAGATTCTACCAGCAGACAAAGGAAATGGTAGAGACATCCTAGACGTCAAAGATTATGATACGAAGATCGAGCAGTTACTAGACAAACAACAATAAAAAAAAAATCACCAATGACCCTAAAGAAAAGACAGATAGACTCATCAATACAATACTGAACAAACTTAAGAAACAAAATTTAATCAATGAGAAGTTAGCCAAAGACTTAAGAACCAATGAAAATATCCCCCTCAGTTCTATGGACTACCTAAGGTACACAAACCTAATATAACTTTAAGGCCAATAGTCAGTGCTATAAACTCACCTTGCCATCGACTAACCAACTTCCAGGTGCCTATCCTATCTCCACTATGAGGGAATATCGAAAATCATATTCAAAACTTGACAGATTTCATAGAACAACTCAGAAAACTACATATCAGATCCCAGGATATTCTGGTAAGTTTTGACATCAAAGACATATTTAACAATGTTCCAACTTTAGAAACCCTTAATATAACCAGACAACAACTGCTGAATGACAGCTCTCTACCACACAGAACTGACACGAAGATAGATGCCATCAATGAACTAACAATTATTTGCCTACAATTAACTTATTTCCAATACAACGAGAAATTCTATGAACAAACAGATGTTCCAGCTATTGGATCACCACTCTTTCCAATCCTAGCAGTCATTTTCATAGAAGACTTTGAAGAAAGAGTCCTCTCATCCACACACATATAAAACCTAGTTTCTACAGATGTTATATTGATGGCACCTTCGTTATTTGGCCCCATGGTCTTGAAAACTTACCAACCTTCTTAGAACATCTTAATTCTATAGCCAAAGAATCCACTTCACCATGGAAATAGAGGAACAAAACAGCCTACCATTTCTTGACATACTCATCAGCAGACAAGAGAGAAAAATCACCACAGCTGTATACAGAAAACCCACCCACACAAATAAATATCTACACTTCCAGTCCTATCATCCAACCTCAATAAAATGTGGTATAATCCAATGCCTAAACAAGAGAGCAGAAAGCATTTGTGATAAGACATCCATCAAAACAGAGTGCCAAAGATCATAGAGTGTTTTAAACAGAACACGCATAGCCAAGAAATTCAACATAAATGTCCGGTGGAAATCCTACACAACATTAAGATCCATTCAGGTGAAAAACAAACAGAAAGCTACCAAGAGAAACACAAAAACGGAATTTATGAAATTCTGTGTTCCTGCAAAGAAACATAAATTGGAGAAATGGGAAGAAGGCTCGCAACAAGAATAAAAATAACATAAAGACAGTACAAGACTCGTGAAAACACAAAATTCAGCCATTGCAGAACACACTATGTCAACTGAACACAAAATGAACTGGGAAAAAACTAGAATCACCAACACAAACAAATTTTGGAAGAAAAGAAAAATTAAAAAATCATTTTACATTAACACAATAAAACCTTCACTAAACAGAGATTCCGAATTAGAGGTGAGTAATCTGTGGCTACCATTGGTTTAATCTACAGGAAGTCTCTCCACCAATCAGTAACAGGGATAAACCAACCAATCATAACATGCTATCCACAATCCACCAGAATACTATAAAGATCGACTACATCATACACACACTGACAAAAGGCAAGACTTTTGAAACGTAATCCTCTACACTTGTGTTTCTACAGCAAGCAGTTGCCGTCCATTCAATTAAGTTTAATGATGATGACATATTTGTAGGGATTTGGGTTTGAACTCATTGATGGTCAAAAATGAAAGAATCTCTCTTTACCCACTCTCTTATGCTACAGTGTGATGAATATTGAGAAAAATTGTGCTGTGCTTTTAAATCATAAAAGAAATGTTACATCTAATCTCTAGGAAGAGTTGAGATTATTAATTACATTACAGAGCAATATATATTTCTACTAGGATGCAGCTATAGACAGGAATTGAGATAACAGGTCAGGTTTAGAAGTATTTTTGTAAAATGAAGCATCATGTGCTACTTAACTGTAAGAATATCACTAACTTCATTTAAATAATAAGCAGGGGTATAAATTTGGAGGTGATATGCAATTCTAGAAGCTCAGTTTTTTTTGTACTTGTAGTATAATGCATATGTGATCTGACATAGTGCACGTTGCCATACTTTGAAAATTGTTCTCATGTACACTTTATAAATGAGCATAATTGAATGAGAGTTATAGCTATGAGAATACTACTTCTGATTTACAAATGTAGCTGATTTTCTGGCTTATTTTGTTGATAATGTTATTAACATCATTATTCCATGTACATTGTGTATGTACACTTTATATAGAAGTTATATGTGAGTTACAACCATGAATATTACCTCTAATTTTATGAAGGTAGTTAATTCTCTGGCTTATTTCAGTGATAATGTTATTAAAATCATTATTCTATTATTGTATTGGTGAGTTACTTGTATATGAAAAGTTTTAGTTTTACTTGAAAGATTTTCTTAAATTTCTTGTTAAGACATTTCATGAAAATGGTTGCTTTTGTTTTTTACGGGTTAAGCACTACTTCTCAGTTACTGCACCAGTTGGTGACGTGGTCCAGAGATGTCATGCAGGAATAAGGAGATCACTTGATGTGCTCCAGATAACTATACCATCAGTGTATTGAAAATGTTGATGTTAAAGCCACAAACAAAATGTCGTTAACAGGCTGAATACTAAAACTTGGCTGTTGTGTCCCCTGAGACTGGGACAAGTAACCCCCCCCCCCCAGGACTAACTGCTATGATTTGTTTGTTTTGCCATATTTATAGTATTTATTGCATTTTTATAGATGTTTCCTCACTTGAACCAATTACAATTTATTTGTACATTTCCATTTCTTTCAAATAAGCTTTATTTTACCTTGTGGGATGGAATGTATAATTTTGTTTTGAATAAAAAGAAACAGAAGATTACAAAATATTCAATTTTTTTTATTAAAATACACTCAATTTATTTTAAAGCAAGAAGTTAATACATGAAACTTGACACTTACCAGCAATCCACATGCAGCCCACAAAAGAAAGGTATCTGAAGCCACATGTTTTCAGGATCACAGTCATTTTCCTGTCGCTCCACACATTCATCAAAAGTCTTTAATATGTAAACAACATCAGCAGTTTAAAGAAGTGTAGCAAAAGTAAGATTAGATGATAACCAGCTTTTATTAATTACACAAAAATCCAGATAAACTACAACAAATACTCCTTATGATAAGCCAAGTATTAAAAAAAGTTACATATACAAAGGTTCTTGCAACTTATTGCAAAATATTTAGCTTTTCTAGTTTTCAATCTTGCTTTTATAAATCTTTGTACCATACTTTTGCAGAAATTAAAATTAAATCAGACATTAGCCCATTTGTATAGTTACAGTTGATTTTTTGATTCTGTAATTAAAAAACACTTACCACAGTATTTCCTTTTCTTTTGCGAACTACATAAGGTCGAAAATCATCACCATAACGAAGAAAGTAGTAATAAGACACTAGTCTATCAAGAGGTTTTCGTATCAGATTGATATAGATCGGTCTCTGTGAAATTCCGTATCTGTTGAAAATGAAGCATCAACTAATAAGCTTAAGTAGAACTTAACTACATGCAATGGAAAATTTTAAAAATGAAAGTGCATAAAAGTACTTCCTCTCATACTAGTAACATTTAGTATCTATATTGTTGCGTATCTGCTTGTTTGTTAATTTCAGGTATAAATTCTTTCAGAGGAGCTTCAGCGATAATAGTCCCTTCTTGATTAAAACTAGTTTATTCTTTCTCGATACAAACTTTGTAATACACAGAATTTCCACAGTCAATACGTTTTTCTCGTCGCTTTACTTAACAACCTTTATAACACATGCTATAAATCACAGTGATTCACACACTTTACTTACGGTGCCTACTGTTCGCTTGACTTAGTTATCTATCTATCTCTTCAATTGCGCTGGTTTTTCTCGCCAGGCTTATATACTAAGAAGAGGGCATCTCGAATGCACTCGGACCTTCATGATCCTTCGAGAAACTCCAGCGCGCATGCTCCCAGCATCGCGTGACTTCTGCTGTCATAACAATATGTAGACAAAACAAGTAGGCTTAAAACATTCAGAAGAAGAAGATAAAGCTCTTGATATTCACTTAGAATTTTAAAGTTTTCTATTACTCCAAAAGCTTTATTTTAGGAATTCTCCCCCCTCCACACACTCACACAAAAATAAAATTAATCAAGTTGAGTCACAGTATTACAACTACTTCAAAAAAAGCTGTTTAGTGGATGATTAAAAAGATTAATGGAATTTTGGATAATTAGTTTTGGCATTAAGTTATGATTGTTACTTACTGATCAAATTAGCTAATTAGTGTAATTTAGTTGGACTATCACCAGGTTATTTTAGTTTTTTTAATGTACAAGCTTTGGCTAAATTACCTAAGCTTTTTACAGGTGCGAGAAGTTTAGTAAACAATAGAATCTAACCAATTTTTTTCTTTTTATACCAATTTTTTGGGATAAATATTATTAATAAAAGTCTGTTGAAGCTGTTGAAGTTCAGTTTCTATGTATTCGTTACTGCATATTCTATGCGTTCTGCATGCTAAGGTTTTTAATGATACTGTTTTTAACACATACCTAATTTATCATCACTAGATAAAAGCTGTGAAATATGTGCTTTTTTGGAGCATTCAATCATACCAACATAGTAATTTTTAGGCATTCAATAAACAAATCATGCAAAACTTTGTATTCAACTAAGCTGGGTTAATTAAACTTCTTCACCATTAAAACTGATTACTAAACTTCTTTCATAGTAATTTTTACTTTTCTATATAAAAATCTTTTCAGTACATTCTATTTTTTATGTACTTTCCATATTACACAAGACTAATACTTGAATTTCCAGTTTCTACACAACACTCACACAAGATATATGAAGAAGCTTGTTTAAATTAATATTACAAGTATTTATAAGGGAAAGTAAAAATAATGAAAATTATTTTAATATATTTCCACACTTATTTTAGGTTGAAAAACCATCCAACACACACACAGAAAGATTGAAAAAACTTTAAATGTAATGTAACAAGAGCAAAAAATATTTTTTCTATCTTGGTTTCTTTATCAAATGAATTCTTTTTTTTAAGTTAGGAAACATTCATAAGGCATGCAAACAATGTTAAGCACGGTGATCACTGTAATAGCAAAATTTAAATAAAACAAAAAAGAAACATCTTTACTGCCAAATGTTCATTTAAAAAAGGCAGATGAATGAAATTTACATTCTTGATACTGCCAGAAGTGTGAATGTATCCTCTTAAAACTTGATTTTTATAAACATAAATTTACCAAATATAAATTTTGCACAACAAGCAAGCTTTTTCTCAGGATTTATTCTTTAGAATTACATAATTGTCAGTATTATATGATATTTATATTTCAAATTTTAATTATATTAAATTATATGCATCAGCTATTTTTCTTGTGTTATCACATTATTTAAAATGATGCTTTATAATGATAACTACATCAAATTCCATTTTCTTAGGTCCCCCTGAAAGATGCAGTCACAAATTTATAAGGTACAATTAACTTCATTATAAACATTCCTTAGGTATGTAGTTTTAGTTTGTTTAACGCTGTACACTTTGAGTGTACTTCACCCCCTTCTACGGTTTATCATAAACTGTTTGGAGCTTCACTTCAGTAGCATAAGATATGTATATGAAACATGCAAAGTACAAAATTATGAGCATTTTCACTGACAAGCTTGGCATTCTTTTGAGAAAATAAACAAATACATTGTATATAAAAGGTAAAAATTTATTTATTTTTACACCAGAGGTGAAACTGAAAGAGAATCGGTGATGTAGAGGCCTAACGCATTTCTTGGTTGACCGTACCCTCTGCCGTGGACTGCAGTTTCACCAATTCAAAGCTCATTGGCACAGCTTGGGTCAGACAACCAAAGAAATACCATTAGACTTCTTATAATGGTGAAGTGTATATAATATGTATGGGGTTTGAAACAAGTACATTATTTTTACAGTACTTAGTGAGTAAAATCTAACTGCTGAATTAGGTTAAGCATACAGTAACTTTAACTGTGAAAATTCAATTGAAAAAAGTTATTATACCTGTGAAACATAGTAAGCTGAAGACACGAACAAATGCACCCCTTGGACCAAAAGATATGCTCACACTTTCACATGCCTCAAGAAAGGAAGCACTGTTACAGCAATCTAATGTAGCATTAATAATTCCTAATTTAGCAGTGACAGACTAGAGGGAAGGCAGCTAGTGAACACCACCCACCACCAACTCTTGGGCTATTCTTTTACCATTACATTATAATGCCCTCACAACTGAATGGGTGAGCATATTCAGTGATGGGGATTCGAACTTGCAACCCTCATATTGAGAATTGAGCTTCCTAACCACCAGGAATAATTAAACAGAAAAATATTACTTTTCTTCAGCAATCCAGCACCGATTAAATATTTTTGAATCCAATGCTTCATATCACAACATGCATACTTGATGTTAATAATAATTCTACTAATTATTAAGTTTGTGTTCTTACTAGTTTTCATTGCAGACTGAATTAACACAAAGTAAATTAAAAATGCTCAATTTTCAAAGCAGTAAAGTTTTTGCTTATGGATTACTATATATTGAAGCAAATGAAAAGTGAGCTACAAATATGAAATACTGCTCAACAATGTGCATGTTTATATAATCTAAAACCCAAATGTTAGTGTCCTTTTTAGCATATTATTAGTATACATGCACATAATATATAATTTTAATGGTCAGTTTTTTGCTTAGGAATTCGATAGAGTGGTTTTCCAGCATGTGGATTATTTGGAATCCTTGTCGATCCTTACTATGAAGTACTACTATATTTAAAATTAAAACATTTAACACATATTTCAATTTTAACCAACAGTATACATCCGATATGTAATTATTTCATGAAAGAGTACTGACTGGAACTTTACCAATCAAAACTAGAAATACTTAAAAGGTTTTTACAGTTCTAATTAGAAATTCACTGAAATCTACCACTATTTGAAACTCTGAGCTCAATTACATATTGAACAGATTTGAGACAAGTGCTTATATTTATAATTCTTTAAAAAAACAAGTCACAGAGTCAAGTCAGATGTTACTATCAAACATGAAATAGCTCACCTCTGAAAATTTAAGAAAGCAATATGTCCATGATAAAGTGCAGGTTTCTTGTCCTGCCATGATGTAACATTCTCAATAAACCTCCTCTGTTGGAAGAAATATAAATGTTATTGGCTTAAAAAAAAGAAACTGAAAAATGTCAGAAAATGTTATAAATTATATTTATTTTAATTCCTATTGATTAGGATTATGATAAAAAATAACAATGACATTCCCAACTGATGATTCAATGCATTATAATTAGGACAGGTTTTGTTTTGTGACATGCATATTCCTAGTTAAATTAGTACATTACAGTAGCTATATTATTTAATGCGTTAATTTTTAAGTCTGATCTGTATATGTAGCTTTCTTTGATCACATGATATTGATAAGCAAGTTAGTGTTTCTACACAATAATTATTTTAAATTAAAAAAAGAACATGCATATATAAAAACAGCTGTATTTTAAAAGAATGGAACTTACATTAAACATATTTTATGACTCATTACAAATTAAACTAGTTAGTTTGGAGAATTCAGTGTTTAAATCAAATTCAAAAATCCATTTTTGTTCAGTTATAACATGAATTAAAGAGAGTTCTACTACATAAATAAAAATTTTTTTATTCTTTTATAGATCAAATAAAACAAAAAAGCATGGAAAGTTAATATGATTATAACTGTTATAAAGAAGAAGTACACAGTTTTATTCAGACTCGGATGTTTTCAACATATAAAGTAAAACATCAAAAATTTAACCACAAAATCAACCCCATATGTAAAATGAACATAAAATATATCAAATAACATTTTATGCTGTTCATAACAATAGAACCTTTAGCGTTGTCAAAGCTTTAGTGGTATTAATTTGAGTTAAAAATCTAGTGAATATGCAACAAATCAGCCTTATAAGTATTTGAAAGGAAAATATTCTTGATATATAAAACGTAACTGGAATATTCTCACACAAGACATAAACATTTTTTAAATAATCTGAGAGTAGCACCACATGCACATTTCTTGTGGTATCGATGTGCAAAAAATGAAATTTGTTATATTTAGAAATATGCACATTCATTCCTGGTGGTATTGAAGTGTACAAGGTGAAGTTTGCTATGTTTACCCACATGCACATACCTACTGGTATTAAAGAACATGAAATTTGTTACAATTACACAGATCATTAAAAAAAAATCTTACCTGATCCGAGAGCAACATCATATACATATTCCTGGTGGTATTGATGTGGAAGATTTGAAATTTATGTTGGAAGAAACCATAAAAAAAAATCTTACCTGATCTGAGAGTGACATTACATGCACATTCCTGGTGGTATTGATGTGAAGAACATGAAAGTTGTTACGTTTACAAAGATCATAAACCACACCCATCAGACTTGTGCTTGCAGTTTTAGGGACTCGATTATAAATTATAAGTAAATCATCATATGGAATTTTGGTATCTTCTCCATTATTGACAAAATCAGCAAGTATATCTTTTTTGCTGTCTTCATCAAAGTTCCTCAGCTTAAGTTGACTGATAGTAGCAGCTGAAAAAAAATTATTACTACATTTTGCTACTCAGTTGTAGTAAAAAAGAAAAACAATAGATTTTGGTTATAATATAGTTTTCTACAATTACAAGGTAAACAAAAATCTAGTTTCCCAAAGGTTACCCTCTGAGCTGTGGACTTTTAAAGTATTTTAGATGACATTTGATCCACATTTTTGAAGTATATACCTTAGAACATTGAAATGTAAAAAAAAGTTTTGAATTTCATTCATCTTACAGTTTATGTCAGTTGTATTTCTACTGGAATAAAAAAATGCTTTCAACTATTCAATAGCTTAAAGTAATTTTCTCCCCATTAAAATACGAGTATTCTTACACAGTAAACTCCTAATATTTTTTTTATTGTAAACAATTCAATAATATTAGATAAATATAATTTTTAATATAAATTTACTGTATGTTAATGTACACTAACCTAATTTTTTTATTGCTTCATCCTGATGCGAGACCTTCATTACAAAATGACAATAGAGTACAGTACAAACAATTACACCCAAAATTGTGATGAATTGCTTTATCTGCCACATCTTCCACATCAGATAGTCATCAAACTAAATGTAGCCATCCCTAAAATAAATAAAAAAGCATCAGAATCCTGAGATGTTGAACAATTACACAGGATCTAGCAAAAATCTAAAGACACTTTTATTCTTAGGTCTTCTTACAATTATAGATTACCAAAAACATAATAAACATGTTTAGTGCAGAATTACACAAGTAACTGTTTAAAGACTTTACATTACTTTAATTGCTCCAGACTTTGTTTTACACCTAATGGGTGCTTAAAATATGATACAACTATAACTTTTTACACAAGATAACCAGTTAATTTTTCATTCATCATCCATCACAGACTACAAAATGAAGTTATTTTTATTTATTATCAGTTGCATACTGGAAGAATAAAAAGTTATTTTTATTTATTATCAGTTGCATACTGGAAGAATAAAAAGTTATTTTTATTTATTATCAGTTGCATACTGGAAGAAGAAAAAGTTATTTTTATTTATTATCAGTTGAGTTGCATAATACAATAAAAGTTATTTTATTTATGATCTTTCATTTTTCCACAAAATGACTACACTTTATTTATAAAACATATTTGTGGAACTAGCTGTAGTAATGTGTTATAAAAATGGCACTAGATTTTCCCTTGCCATGGATTCTCAAATATTGTGAAGTAAAAGTTGAGAAATGTCATAGTTATAGGTAATCAATAGTTTCATTAGAATCAAATATACCAACAAATTAGAAGCAAAAACACAGTTCAGTAGAATATCTAACTTTAATAGCAATATAATGAATTAGTATACTACACATAAATGAATGTTAACAGGAATGTTTATTTTAAAACAATTTATATTCCTTCAATATAAGAAATATAACTAGTTGTTCAAGAAACTGATTAAAGAAACTCTCCACATCAAACAATTTTCACCAAAACTGAATAACATGCAGTTTTCTTTTAAATTCCACATTTTTTTAATATGTACAGTATTTTTGTTTGTTACTCCTGTACTTTTTATGTGCTTTAGATTTGATTAAATTATCATTATTGCAGCAATGTATTTTAGTTATCTACTTAAAAATTATGTTATTCTTTCATTTTGCTTTAAATACTGAAGATGGAATCTGTAGAATTCCAAAACGTTTATCTGTTCCCCTTCTGTTATAAATAATGTTGTTTATCTTAAATATCGTTATCTTTTTTATTGGAAAACAACAGTATTTTAAATCTAACAAGACCAAATCACAAAGAATGAGTTTATTACATTGCACAACATAATTAAGAGATAATTGAAGTTTATAATATTGCTGTAAAATTGGTATTTTGTTGGCAGGTTCTTTGAAATTATTTATATAAACTAGAACAATTTAGTTTATTTTCTCCTTTAATATTTCTAAAAGCTTGAACACTTATACACTGTAATAAGTTGTTGTAGGCCTACATTACAAATGTTCAAACCTCTCTAACAGTCTAGGACTGGCATAAAATCAAATCAACTTGCATGCACAAAGTAACTGAGATAGTTAACACACTGACTATTTCATTCTCTTTTCTTGAAAACCTCACCACAACCTTCACAACTATCTTGTACTTATAGTCTACCTTCAAATGTGTGAGAAAACTTGATGTCAATTTAAAACTTTCTAAATGTTCTAAGTCTATCTTAACATCATGTGCCTTCTAGCTAACATACAAATTACAACACTGAAAATATAACTTAAAACAATACCTTACCTATGACAAGACAAAGCCAGTTGAAACTAATGCCAATTACTCCTTAACTTAATTTCATGCAAATCAGACAGGTAATTATTTTCTATGTGATCTGAAATACAAATGATTAGAGTAGCCCACACACATATAAATGAACATTTAGATGGAGTGGCTTTATAACTTTACATTTCATGATAGCTTGCTTCAATATGGAGTAAGGTCACCTTGAACATCAAGGGTAGCCTGACACTGATGTTTAAGTTGTTCTGTACAATACAGTTCAAACCAAGCACTGAAAAAGCAGACCAAAATTATGTTTATTTCACAATCTTCCTAAGGCAGACAAAGACATACAATGTCAACATACGTAACTTTTTAAAACAGGACACCAGTTTATGCTTCATGTTCTTCTGTTTTTTTCATTAAATAGATTTTAACAATTTTAAATAATTTATATTATAAAGCTATTTTTCATAAGGTAATTTTTTGTTTTGTTATTTGCTTTCTACTTGTTAAAATGTACACACATAATTCACATACTGGTCAGTTATTTGTCTAATAAGAGAATCAATCCCATATACAGTGCTCCTAATAAGGCACTTAATCCTTACAAAATATTACAATAACCCCCTTACTTTTTAATTAAAATTTCTGAAAGTTTATTCCAGAACTGTATTTTTTTTAAAAGAAGAACCAAACACTCAGCTAAATTGATAGGTGTGAGAAATTTAATGGACTGCAATGTATGTTGAATGAAAATGGGACAATGTTTTGGCTTCTTTACTGAAGCCTTCTTAAAATAATGAACAAAAATATAAAAACAGACCATTAAAAGAGCCCACTCTTATACTTTAAAACAAAATCATATACATCTACATTTATCTTTGTCTTCTGCTTTCTACGGAAAGCTAATTATGTGCGTACTAATAACACTGACTATTTTAATACAAGTTACTGTTTATTTCCAACTATAGCAAGATATCAAACTCAGTTATAAGTTACTTATTTCTTATGGTTCAGTTATTAAGCTTCACATTGTATTCTATCATCTCATGTGCATTTAACACAAAACCAGTAAAATTATAAAAATTTTTAAGTTCATTGTTGGACCACAAGATATATTGTAGCCTAGTGTATGTATGTGTCCAAATGTTATAAGTTATAGTAAGAATGTAGTCTAAATGTTAGACTTCTGCTGCAGCAAGCTCACATTTTCATAAAGTGTGCAGAAATATATTGAAACATAACATTACTAACTATGTAGTAAATGTAAAATAACAGTTGGTAAAACTGATGAATTCACACTACATTATTTAGTACATATATGATGATATACATCATTAGCTTGAAAGTATGACTCTTAAGCTAAATGCTCTAGCCCTGTGCCTTTAGTTCAAAATTGGCTTTGAAAATAAAATCTATAACGGACAATTGAATATGAACATTTAAACTTAAAAGTTAAATAGCAAGACAACTTTAATGACGTCTGTCACTCTTAGTCTTAATCTTATAAATTCTATTTAATTTGAAGTGACTTCTCAATGTAATATTACAATTAGCACTTTTCTATAAAAGAAAACAGAAATTAAGACGATCAAGTAAATGTTAAGATTGAATTACATTCCACACCAAAAATTAAAATCGCACTACTTAACATTTTCACGTTTAGCGAAACTACAGTTTTAGTTTTACAAAATAACTACTAATACTATTACTAGTATTAATACTAAAGTTACAGTACAAATTAAACATCATACTCGTCAGATCATAACTGAATTTCATTATATTCAACAATAAATAACAGGTGATTCAGGTGTTAATACTAAATGAATAGCATAACTCAACTTTCGAGTCGTGCCATGTGATTCTAACGAGAATCCTGGGTCAAAATATTTGAAACAACAGTGACACTGACAGTGAATGTGATACTAAATTGTCTGAAGTAAAATCAAAAGAAACTCTTTTCAAACAAAGATGATAAAATTTAAACTACAAAACGTGAAATCACTACTACAAAGAAATAGTTGTAAGTAAACTGAACAATCATTGAAACTCTATACAAAAATGAAACATTACAGCAAATGAATAATAAATAAGTTATTAATATAACTTAAGAAATACCTCATCGAAATTCTTCCTACTTATTCAAGTGTTATAACGTTGTTACAATACGAAACCGACGTATTTGACCATTAACGACGTAGCGTCCTCTTTAACATTATCTGTCTTCGTGTTTTTTTGTTTTTTGCAAAGGAAACAAATGTGCTTTATTATATAATTCGGAGACAAATATACAAACTGCTAGTTTCTTTTAATTTAAACAAAAATTAACGTCTTTCATTTCTAGTACTGTTCAACGTTTTTGCTTTCCTGATAATACTGTTTCAAGTTTCAAAATTGGTGTCTCTTTATAGTTAAGCTTGTTTGTTATTAATTTCGCACAAAGCTACACGAGGGCTATCTGCGCTAGCCGTCCCTAATTTAGCAGTGTAAGACTATAAGGAAGGCAGCTAGTCATCACCACCCACCGCCAAGTCTTGGGCTACTCTTTTACCAACGAATAGTGGGATTGACTATTACATTATAACGCCCCCACAACTGAAAGGGCGAGTATATTTGGTGTGAAGATGATTCGAACCCGCGACCCACAGATTGCGAGTCGAGCGCCCTAATCACCTGGCCATACCGGGGCTTATAGTTAAGTATCAAGCTACACAATGGGCTATCTATGCTGTGCCCACCACGATTATCGAAATCCAGCTTTTAGTGTTGTAAATCCGCTTACATACCCTTGAGCCACTGGAGGAGCAAAACTAATGTCATCGATAATTTTTGTGTATTAGATAAACAAACTTGAATTTTTGATATAATAACCTTTTTGTTAATTCTCTAGTAAGTAAGATTTAATTCTTACTAATAACACATCTCTAATGTCTATAGTGAGAGCTTTAGAATATAAATTAATAAAATAATAATTTTGATGAAATTTGTGATTTCTCACGGGATTATTATGCTATCTCATTCGTTCATATTTATAACAGTCGTATTGTAAGTGGTTGTTGCATGAACACCCCAATTGTAGACCTGAGAGTTCACATGACTAAAAACCGGGTTTCGATACATGTAGTGGGCATAGCACAGATAACCCATTTTACAGCTTTTTGCTTAATAACAAACGTAGACGTACTGAACATCAAGGTAAGAACACGAAAACTTATATAATACCTTTGTCATTTTTTTATTCAATATGTTGCAGTGAATAAGCGATAGATATTTTGGACCGAGTAAATTATATTAACTCCAAATAAAATACATAATAATAAATCTGTAATTTAACTAAATGTTTTCTGTAAATTATTCAACAACTGAAAATAGTGAAATGTGCATTTTTCATTCAGTATCATTTATAAAATTTCAAAAATCTTGCAGATAACTGCGAATATTTCTCAGCCTGCACTTCTTACAACTTCTATTTCTTTTTATTATTGTATTAAACAAAATCAGATGAAAGTTTCATTCATCACCCTACTTTACTTTATAAACTTATGTGAAGCTAAAACCACTGTTCCCCTCCAGTGGCACAGTTTGAAGGCTGAAGGCTTAGAACACACAAAAAAACTGGGTTTTGATACCTGTGGTGGGTACAGCACAGATAGCTCATTGTGTAGCTTTGCGCTTAACAACAAACTAATCATTGATAATCGAACTACCACCATTTTTTTAAAAGTAATTTGTCTATCGTAATGTTAAAAGCAGTCTTATGCCTGCTCTCGTCGTCCAGCTCGACTTACCAGTATCCAGATGCCAGATCCAACGTGGTTGAACAAAAGGGAACCTTCTAATGCGTCCAGATATTCATATGTTTGCAGTAAAGGAAAGATGTCAATGTGATTTACCGTTTTCACTCACATGTTAGGCTTTTTCTTCTCTAACAACTGGACTAAAGCTTTTCTTTCATACAAGGTCACAATTTAAGTTGTCTTGGTTAAGGAGAGGATATCCCTCACACCAAGGTATTCGCTTACGGTTTCACTGGAAATACAACCAATGAATTTATTCCTGAGTATGTCCTCCCAATCTGCAAATACCATTGCAGGTCAAGCCATCCTGTGCAATTTGTGCAGGTCATCCTCATAGGTGGCTAATCCTTTACTGAAAGTCCTCTTTTGACGTTTGAACCTGGTCCATTGGATTATCCAATTCACCACTGAGTCATGTTGTTGATATAACTCACAGGCGACTGGCTCACGGTCATCTTACTTTTCCTGATTTAAGTGTTCAACACCATCAAAGGTGGACTGTATAAGCTCAGGAGTAGTTGTTGGAAATTTTTCAGTCCATCCATTCCATGTAGTTATCTGCCTGGAATGAATGGGAAACAGTCAAAGTCTTCCTTTCTTAAACCTTTGAATATTCGGGGCAAAATCAGCTTTGCTTTGCTTACAGGATCTAGTGGTGCTGACCAAAACCTCCTCCTTGTGGATTCTGGAACTATGCTTAGCTGTGATGCCGCTGATGTTGTGAGTTCAGAGTGGTTATCATAATAAGGGATAACAATATTTTGATGAATAGTCAGTCCCTTGACCATATTCACAGGCTGATTAGTTGCTCACAACTAATCAGGATACAGCTGTGCTCGATTCTAGGTGTCATTGCAAGTTGACTCAAAGGAGCTCACCATTCCATGATTCATGTTTTTACCTGCGGGTGCACATTGTCTTCCCTGATTGGAGAACAGCTTTGACTGGTGGAGATCATTCAACAGTGACACGTCCAGTCTTTCTTAGATAATCATCATTGATCTAGACAAAAATTAGGGGCTAGAAGTCCTGGAGAGATCTCTCCAAGTGGTCTCGGTCTTTGCAAGTGTGCAAGTCCACATTGACGACCCTCAGTCATTTTTGCTTCCCTTGAGCCAAGATCGATCCTCGGGGGCAAGGTTCAATCCACAAACCTGCATGTTCCAATCATCAGTAGATTTTCTAGATCTTTTGCTGTCAGCTGATCAATATCAGGGACCTTCACAGTAAGAGCAATAGTCCTATCTGCAGGAGAGGCCTTCTCTTAGACTCGACACCTCTATCATGCAACCATCTTTTTCCGGCTGGAAACTCTTATTCTTGGATGTGGTGAGACGTTAAACTATTCTTTTATTAAAAGAGTTCCTTTGAATTCATTTAAGCACAAGAGATCAAGCAAGGGCTAGTATACAAGTTAATAAAAACAGAAAACTTTCCAATAAATTATATGGTCACAGCACCAAAACTTCTCCTTCCTATCTAGTTGTGGTATTCTTAGATAAACTGATTTCCACGCAAGTGTCATACAGATCTGCTTACTAAAACGATGCTGGTTATCTCATTAGGATATGTGCTGGTTATCTCAATAGGATGTGTGCTGGTTATCTCAATAGAATATGCGTTGGTTATCTCATTAGGATGTGTACTGGTTATCTCTTGGCAAAGTTCTTAGTCATGTGTTTGAACTGCATGATGAAATACGCTTATTTTTAAGTGAGAAAAAGTTTCACTTGGGTGAACTCTTCAATGAATTTTCTTGGCTGACTGTTATGGCCTATTTATCTGAAATATTTACTCATTTGAATGGACTAAATTTAAGCCTTCAAGGGGCAGCCGTAACTATATTTAAAGTTGAAGAGAAAATAGAAGCTATAATATAAATGTTTGATTTATGGGCACATCGTATTCAAAACTGTAATTACGAGTCATTACCAACACTCAATGCTTTTCTGGAAGAATCTGAGAAAAAACTTTCCGATGAGGCGAAAAACATTATTATTCAGCATTTGCATAATTTGAAAATATATTTTAGAATCTATTTTCTTTCTCCCGATTCCAATAGTAAGTGGATCAGAGATCTATTTAATGTGGGCATTTAATGTGTTGACATTTTAACTGTAGTTGAAGAAAATAGCCTTATTGATCTCTCGTGTAATGCTTCACTAAAGTCATTTTTTGGCCAAACTAACTTGACAGATTTTTGGTTACATGTGAGATGTGATTTACCTGAACTGTTATTCAAAGCAGTAAAATATTTAATGCCATTTCCTACAACCTATTTATGTGAACGAGGTTTCTCTCAAATTGCTTATATATAAAATCGAAGTATAGAAATAAGATAAATGTGGAGCCGGATCTTCGTTTCAGACATTGACCCAAAAATTCGCAAGATTGTTTCAGCAAAGCAGTATAATCCTTCACATTAAAGTAAGTCGTAAGATTTTTTAAAATTTTCCATATTTAAATCTCTTTTCATTGTTCTTTTCTTAAAACTAGAATCAAGTTGTAAAGGTAGTAAAATACGCATATGATACACCAGTTACACATGATAACAACTATTTTTAACGGGAGGTGGTCCGCTAATACAGTAAAGAAGTTGATGGGGTCAGCCGGTTGGCAGAGTTTGGGAACCCCTGGACTTTAGGGAAGTCAGCTAATTAATAACACCAACCACCAACTCTTGGGTTGTTCTTTACTAACAATTAATACGGGTCACCGTCACATTATACACCTCCACGGCTAGAAGAGCAAGCATATTCGGTGGCGAGATTCGATCTTACGATCCGCAGGCGTTTTCATTTTATTTTATTTTACCCGGCGAGACAAATCCAATTTCCATAAATGGTCGAAATTTTAACCATTACGTCAGGATAAACTATGAACTATATAACCAATTTTTGCTACTTAATTAGGTCTAAACACTGTGTCTTGCGCAAGAAATTGGACAACTTTCAGCGAACGCACTAAAACTAAAACATCCAAACGTATAAGAAAGGGATTTGCTGCTGATTGAGGACATGAAGCATAGAATGAGGTAACGAAATAACAACATTTTAGCCGTATTCGAATACCTTTATGTTTATGTGTAACGAACGTAACATATGCATTCAACATAAGAGTAAATAATTGAATGGTTGAACGAGTTCCCTACACTTGCTACTGATTAAATATATCTCAGAACCCAGTCTCAACATCTCATTCTGCAACAACAACAAATTACACACAGAATATTGTGCTACATTCTGGAGATCTCTGCTAAGAAGAATGTTTTTTTGACGATTTATACAAAATGTACATTACTTGGTCCTGACACTTTAAGGATAATTATGAGAATGGGTTCCTACTTGGCAAGGATTAAAACTACTGATATTAAATCATGGAAACACAAGTATTTGTAATTCTTAAGATAATCAGTGCATCCGAGAATACCAAATTTATAAATGTCACTTGTCACTTTTCCGTTACTTTGACAATAGCCAAAAGCCTGAAAAATAAAGAGGTGATCAAATGAATCTACATTTGGACTACATAAGTTTCACATTGGAGTTGAAATGTAAAAAGTGTGGGCAACTGAAAATGTAAAAGTTAAAATATATGTTGAAATAATAAAAAGGAATACATTTGAACGTTGGTATCTATATGTATATATGTATGCTTCTAGCTTGTTTGTCTGTTACGATGTGCAAAGCTAAATAAAGGGCTATCTGTGCTCTGCCCACCGCAGGTTTCGATACCAGATGTTTGTCTTTAAACGCCCTCGGACTTACTGCTGAGCCACCAGAGGGTGGGGTTACATTTTATTGCCATGAATATCCCACTCTTTAACTTTTAAAAATCATATGCTTTATCTAAATATTTTTAAAATGATATTGTTGGTTCAAATAGACGTTCTACGCGAACAGAAAATACTCGACTTTTGAACATGAGAATACTTAACTGAGGGAGTGACCACTGCAGCTGGACGTCAGTAACCAAGATAATTTGCATATGTATATGACCTGCACTGGAAAAGCTAGTCTTGCTGGCCTTGACCAGTGGCTAGAGTATCAGTCACGTGGGTGGGTAGGAGAGTTTCTGGTCGTGACGTGGATTGTATCGCTTGCTGGTAATGCTGATGGAGTTTGAGACTGAATAAATATAAAATCCAAGAAAGACTACTGTTCAAAATTCTGCCCAGTCTAGTCGACAGAGAAGCTAAACAGAATAAACTTTGAGTTGCCTGCCTTAGATATACTATGTTTTCCACGTTCAGGCACTGAATATGGAATAAAATGTGTTCATTATCTCTTGCGAAATGTTTTGTGGTGTCTTTATTTAAGAAATAGAAGAAGAAAATTCGGACATCTCGGTTTTCTATAATTTCACTGTATACATTTTTGGTTCCTTGGACAAAAAAATACTGATAAACAATATGTTACATTTTTTCTCGTATCTGTATTTCATGCCATAATATTATGATGAAGTTTCTCTGTATAACTTTATTTGTTTGTTTGTTGAATTTTGCGCAAAGATACTCGAGGGCTATCCGCGCTAGCCGTCCCTAATTTAGAAGTAATATCCTAAAGGAAAAGTAATTAACGAAAACCACCAACCGCCATCTCTTGGGCTTCTCTAATCGAATAGTAGGATTTACCGTAAGATTTTAACGCTACTACAGCAGAAATGGCAAGCTTATTTGATAAAGGGAAATCCGCAACCCTTAACTTGTGAGTAGAGTACCTTAACCACCAAACCATGCCAGACGGTAAAACTTTATAAATACAGCCTGGATACACGAGAAAGTACTTCTTTTTCCCAACTAGAAACAAACAATTTGCATTGCCATTTTCTTGATACATTGTCCTTCTATTTCTATTCGTAAACTCAAAGCTATTATTATATTTTTGTGCTTAGATTAAGCACAAAGATACAAAATGGGCTATCTGTGCTGTGTCCATTAAGGATATCGAAACTCGATTTTTAGCGTTATAAATCCGTAAACTTTCTACTGAGCCGCTGGAGGGGGTGGGGGTTTTCATTACGTTTATTTTAGTATAAGGAAAATAAAATTTCTGCTGATTCGTGTTTATTTAATATGATTTAATATTTTATTTTAATATTTATTTTAATGTTTATTTAATATTTAATATGGTGGAAAACGTTTTGGCACGATTGAAGTTAGATGTTCATGAAAATGTACAAGTCAGTGTCTAAGTTTTTTACTATTAAACGCCTGTACATATCAAGACATAATATCTATTTTTATTTTATAAACTAATATGTTGAAAGTTTCACATAGTTGAAATATATCTGTACCGGTAAAGTAATTGTTATTAAAAACCCGATATTAAATTCACAATAAGGTATGTATTTTTCTTTAAGATCAATCACTTTAAATGTGATATAGCATAGCTAATAATGAAATGATTCCTTAGTTATATTGTTAATTTTTTTTAATAAACACGATAAAGTATAAAATAACTAATCATTTGTGTTTTACTACAAGAACGACCATTATCACCAATTGTGTTTATACTGCAGAAAGACAGGGCGTGTAGCAAACCAACAAAATCGGTGCAAGTCAATAAAAACATCTTAGGCTAGAAACCACAGGTGATTTGCAGATTTTCTTAATTTCAGATACGTGACTGATTATGGTGCTGTCAAAGCACGAGAAAGTCGAATTAATCCTGCTATTGATCCAAACTTGTTTGAATTACAAGAACAGCATGTGGAACACTTTCTGTAAAATCGTTGAAGTGCTTATGGTTCCAGACTTTTCAAACACCGTGTCTAATCCTAATGAAATTTTGAAATTCAAATGACATATTATAATAAGATATATACTATTCTTCATAAATGAGATAAACAACGAAGAGTTTGTTTCGGAACACTTTGGTACAATAAATAATGAGATCGGGCGTGTTCTAGCGTTAGCGTGCCCGACTGTGAATTTATGTGTTCGTGTTCCGTTGCTGCAAAATTGCTGTCCGCACTTTCGAGCTGTCGATGCGATATAAGAGTGACGGTCAAATCACACTTTTAAATTAGAGTAGCTCAAGATCTGAGGGTGGATGCTGTTGACTAACTGCCTTCCCTCTAAACTACCTGTTCAAAATTAAGGATGATTAGCCCTTGTCTAGTTTTGTACGAATATCCGAAATCAACAAACAAACAATAAGTAATTTATACAAGCAAGTATTTTCAAGATAAAACAAAATTTCATAGAATAACATTTATTCATTTCTTTAATTTTCTATATACAAATACTGAATTTTCAAATAAGGCATTGTTACACGTACTCAGCGTCTAAAATAACTATATTTTCTATTATATATATATATATATCTTTCTCTCTATCTATATATGCTGAAATTATAATTTTTTCAGACCAACACTATCACATTGAGATATTTAGGATTTAAAACGTTATACTTCAAGAACTTACTATAAATTCAGTTAGTTGTTGCCTTCCCAAGCTCAAGTAAACAAGCCATGGCTCACAACTTATTATATTACCTCAAAGTTTCATATCAAACAATAATGAATATTATGGTTAATTTTTCTTCAAATAGTGTAGTTATTAATATTCTTCTGTGAATAGTTGTAAAATGAATCAATCATTATAAAAGCATATTTTCAAAATTATTGTGTGTTTTTTCAAATCACTGGATAGTTTAATGGATTTTAAATTTAAATCATTTTTAATAACGTCTGCTATTTATTGATAAATTAATCACAAATATATTTATATAGAAATATTATATAAAAAAAACGAAACTGAGTTAAAAAATCAATAGTAAATTGGTTCAAGCAACAAAAGAAACCTGAAATTTAAAAAAAAAACTTTACTCAACTAAAATTAATGAAGAAACAACACCGATTTCTGAATAATATACTTGAGACAAAAAAAATCGAAGTTCATAATAAAATTCAATCATAAAAACACACACAAAAAAGAGAGGTTGGGCGCACAAAAACACAAAAGAGGTTATAAACTCTAAAGACTTAGTTTATTCTAATATCAATCAAAATTAGTATATGCTCTAATAATCTGATGCAGTTTTGATCATTTAATAGTAACACAGGCCTGCAAATTTAAACTTCATAAAAGTTGTTTTGATTTTAATAACGGATTTTCCATAATCCAGCTACGCAGATTTCGAAAATAATATACTTTTTTGTATCACGTAAGGATTTTTTTACAAATCAGGAAGAAGAAAACTTTTACTTAGATCAAATTATTATTTCGTTTACCAAATGAACATGTTGTATTATTGTGTTTGTTAACAAAAATGCAAACAAACTGAAGAAAGGGGAAGAACACTGTTGTCAAACAAATATGCATCCTCATTCATCCTGATTTTTTTTTGTGAAATCTACGTCTTTTAGTCTCAAAACTGTGTGTTGTGGTCTTTCTTTTATGTATTGAATTATGACGTTTTGTGAAAAATCTGTAAGTGATGGAGAAAAATGGATATCATTTTCGGATTCAGCGTATATGAATTACTGCAGAACATGTAAAAATTTCAAGACAATAAAATCATCGCAGGCCCATGTAATTATTTCCTATCCTTCTTGAAGCTAAAATTTTCCACAATCTATTATAACCACTAGCGATAAAACACATCATTTGCAAGTGTATAACTGGAGTTTATGGAATGTACAGTCACCAACGCTTTAATACTTATTAAAAGTTGCCAACAAATATCAAATTTTCTTTTCCTTTCTTTTCCATTTAACCCGTTGCTTAGTTAAACGTCATTCGCTAGAATAGTTTCACAATAATTCAGTTCATAACCCAGTTCCTAACTTAACATGCAACATTAAGAATCTAAACGAAACGTAAAGGAAAGGGAATTCGCAACTAGAGACTGAGACTTCTCCAAAAATTATGGCAACTAGTAGAATTATAGCATCCAGAGTTGCCTGGATGTAGTGACAGCTGCCTTGGCTGAAATGTTTTGAATGATATCAGCATCAGCCCAAGGTAGGATTATACACATAAACATCTTGGCTGTTTTCTGATCAGTGAGGAACATGCTGAAGGGTAGAAATGGATTTCCTTTCTCTACGAAGATTCTAATTTTGGCATACATGTCAGGGAATTCTGTTGCTAAGTTGATTCCTCTTTCTTGTAGGTGATGTTCCATTGCTAAACATTGTTGGAGTCGCTCAGTTACGTCAGATCCGGGGTCTTTAGCTAACGTTAATATCACCGTTTGGACGTCATCTTCTGGTAGTGGTGGAGCTAGTCTCACCTTGGTTCCCCGTATAATTATTTCTCGCTCTACAACAGCACCAGCCACACTCGATACGTCTTGAGTTACACGTACGGCTACTAGAAGAACAAACTTCTTTGCTGGGTTGTAGTGGTCACAGAGGGATCGGACGTGGGTATACATATCCGCTCCCATTTCTTGAGGCAGGAGATCACCTAGAGGGACATAAACGTTCTGCCTGCGAATTGATTCCCAACCTTTACACATAAAGTCTAAGGCACCTTCTGTATTGTAGAATACTAGTTTGACAGCTCCTCGCCCTCGAGACAAATATCCTCTTCTTGCACACACAGATAGATTCCGTCTGGAAACTGGGTCTTGTCGAACTTTGATTAGAACTTTTTGACACAAATTACCGACTTTTGTGTAAGGACACTGGTTTTTATGACGCTCCCAGTCAAGCTTACGACAATGCCTGCTACAATAGTAAGTATAACAGTTAGGACACATGCGAAACTTCGTTTGTGCTTCTTCTGCGGGCAAGGTCTTGGTACATTTGGAACGGTTGCATGTAATTGATACTTGATGCTGAGATGACTCATATTGAGTATCATCCATGTGTGACAAAACTGATGTTTCTTCGGTGTTATGGTTTGACTCCGGGAAACCATGACGTGTGTCTGGAAGTGTTGGGGTAAATTTAAAGATATTATAAACTTGCTGGTCTCCAGTTTTGTCTTCTTCTGTAGAAATAGAGTTCTTGGAACAAATATGATTGAGAAAAGCCAAAAAAGCTGGTTATTTATACATAGATTTTTAGAATACTTTAATTTTATTGTTTGGAAACAATTACTATTCAGCAACTTACTGGCATGAAATCCAAAGATATAAATGAACGTGAGCTACTAGTTCAATTATTTTTATTTGCCACTATTGGATAAATTTAATTTGCCTTTACATATTTTATAAGTTCTGAACTGTATACATTTGTTTTTTTATCATGTTTAACATTTTTTTATCTTTTGGAGGCTACCAAATGCAAGGGCATAATTGCCATACAGGAGTTGCTCGTGAATAAGTACCTTCACCAAGCAAGAACAGAATTGGCATGTAGAAAATGCTCGTGAACAAGCAAACGACCTATTTAAAGATAGAATTAGCATGCATGAAATGATTAAGGACAAGTACCCTAACCAAGCAAAGATAGAATTGCCATGCAGAAAATACTCGTGAACATACGCTAAACATACAAAGGCAGAATTATCACGCAGAGGAGATGCAACTGAACAAACAATCTATTTATACAACGACAAGATTAGTATGTAGAAAATGCTGATGAACAAGCAACCTACTCATGCAAGGACAGGATTAGCATGCAAGAAAAATGCTGATGTACAAGTAACCTACTCATGCAAGGCAGGTTTACTATATAGAAAATGCTGATGAACAAGAAACCTACTCATACAAGGACAGAATTAGCATGCAAGAAAAATGCTGATGAACAAGCAACCTACTCATGCAAGGACAGAATTAGCATGCAAGAAAAATGCTGATGAACAAGCAACCTACCCAAGCACAGACAGAAATGTCATGCAGGAAATGCTCGTGAACAAATACCTTGCTCATGCAAGGTCAGAATAAGAATGCAGGAGGTGGTCATGAACACCCACCCTACCTTGTTCTGGAAACGTATACTTCTTGTTTTCTTGAGACATTGCTTCTTTGAGTTTTTCTTCTGCATCTTCTCTGGATGACTGCCCAAAATCAGGTTCCAGAGATGTCACCACTGTACTAGAAAACACATTGTCATCTCTTGTTCCAGATCCAATGAAAATTGCTTCACTTAGTTTCCTACAAGGAGATTGCTGAAATCCTGCACGACTCCTAGAGAGTGTTGTAGGGTGTGATCTCACATCAGTGGATGTCTTCTGGTAAGGTTCTATCTTTTCTGTACATCCAACGTCAAATGTTACTGACACCTCTTGGCTTACTGCGACTGAACTGATCATCTGAGTAACACTAGGGCTATCGTAACGTGATGCCCCAGGGTTAGAAGATAGAGAACTGAAAGGAATATCCAGCGAAGAGTCTAAAACATCATCTAATGACGTAGTAATATCTTCTGTTTCTTCTTCCAGATTATTTAGACCTGAATAAGTTAAAAATACAAAAATATAATCACTAAAATACATTGATGTTAGGTAATAAGATAATGAATTACAGGAGCACCTTGATTTTTATCAGTAAAAATGCACAGATAATGTTTGTGTTTAAAGTAATTTTATCATGTAATACTAAGTTATAATGATGCAACTTTAAGCCAAACAAGATGTTTTAATGCCTCGACTATGAAATTTTTATAAGTAAATGCACAGCTACAATAGTTCCTTAACTCGGTGGTTCTCAAAGTGTGGTCTGAGGCTTACTGGTGGTCCGCGGGCTGATACAAACGCAATTGACATTAAAATCAGCTCCATTCTTCCCATCAATTCTGATGTATTTTTTTTTTTTTTGCGGTGGCAAGCGAAAGTGGGTAGGGTAGGACCGGTAGGTGGTTGGCGGGGCTTTTGCCTCACCGAAGTGATTCGAAGACGAAAAAGTTTGAGAACCACTGCACTAACTCAAAATCCCTTTGGTCGCCAGCATTCTAAATGTTCCATAGCTGTTTCTGCTACATGATCTTCAGTTTGTCGATTTAGCATGCTGTAAAGGTAGCCAAATGCGAGAAATCAAGCCTTCAACAAAGGATTCAACGTATTTTTTATTGATAACCAAGATTAATGATGTATTCTAACTTGAGCATAGACACAGTTGAGGAAGTCATTACTTGGTCAGTGCAATTCTGTTCTTGGCTGAGTCTCAGAAGGTGGTGCTGTTCGTGTTGAAAACTCCAGATCTACTTTGTTTGTTTGTTTGACATTCGCGTTTTATAAATACATGTCTAGACAATTAAAATTTCTCTCTCGTGATTTCAGTGCTTTTTGTCTACCTGCGTTATTTCTGAAATGAATGTTTGCACCAATTTTTTTATTTGCCATTAAAATTGTCAAAAAACTGTGCCTAACTCTCTCCTCCTTTGAAACCGAAAATACGTACAAGATATTGTAGAATCTCTATTATTGCAATATGTTATCAAACCCAAAAGACTTTCAGATTTGACATTCAAACGACAAGATATAAAATGAAGTAGGAGAATCATATTCTCCTTTTATGAATTAAAACCTGACAGATTGTAATTGCGGAGGTAACGTTTTTTCAGTAGTTGGAATCGGTAGAAACTCAAAAGTTTAATACCATTTATAACTAAGATTAGATGGACGAAGTGAAAGTACTTTCTGGTCACTCTCTGTAACTTTCTGTGTTTGTACAACTGCTACAGTTTGTAACATACTGTGGATAACAGGAACGCCCTTCTTGCGGATTATAATCCAGCTTTATTTAAAATTTTCTGTGTGAGTACTACTCTTTTTAAAACTTTGTAAGCACCACAGTTTTCAACATCCTGTTTTTAACAGGTAATGTTATTTTGTGTTACTAGACTATCTGGTCGTGGTATCATTTTCTTTATAGTACTCTCTTTATTAAAGTTTGACACTTTAAATGTTATCTACATTAAAATATTACTTTTTCCACATTAACTCTTTAAACCGCGAAATTACTGTAATTAGATACTGCATTCGTGATAAATCTGTATAGTAATTACATTTTGCACCGACTAAATGTTTTAAATTGTTGGCCCAGCTGTTCTATGTGGTTCGCTATTTTTCATTTATTTACAAGCACAGTTGATGTATGAACGTTAAAGCTCTGGAATAAGTTCTTGAAGCAGCCTTGCTCAAGTTCTATATATATAAATTACTGAGTAAATTGAACTGGTGGTCTATAAATTCATGCCTAGACTACTGAGAAACTTTTACTCGTTATCTATATAATTTTAGACCAATGAAAACTTATCTCTAGGTTTGTAAATACAGGTCTAGAATACTAACAAAACTTTTACACGTGGTCGTAATTGCATATCTAGACTATTGAAAACACTTTTAGTCACGATCCTTAAGTTCGTGATTAAGCTTTTGAAACACTTTTATTTGTGGTTTATAAATGCATGTCTGGACAATTAAAATTTCTCACTCGTGATTTCAGTGCTTTTTGTCTACCTGCGTTATTTCTGAAATGAATGTTTGCACCATTTTTTGTTTTATATTTGCCATTAAAATTGGCGAAATTCTTTCTCTCCCCTCCTCCCATTAGAACGATTTTTGATCAGTTTTTAAAGAAGAGGTATTTTCGGTATCTAAGTTTCACCCTTGGTACACATTTATGTACGATTTCACGGAGAGACTCTCCCAAAGATAATGGTTTCAACAACCACAACTTTTAATGAGGCATTATATATATATATATATCCTCTGTATGAAAAGCTATGCTGCATTGGGAAGGAAATTTAACTCTCGGAGTGTAGGATCGATAGTCATTTATTCTCCTCATGACTTTGCTGTCCTTTACAGGACATGCAAATCTTTTTGGCAAAAAAAAATCAAAAGTCCAAATAAATCATGGGAGTTTTAATCTCCTAGAAACTTCAAGTCATTAAATGTACTTAGCAATTTTTGTATGATTCTAAATAGCCTAGTACATTTAACTCTATTCCTTATAAGTTCCTTAAAAGGTTGGGTTTGTAAACCTATTATACAATGAACACTATACTATCCCAATGTGCATGGCCTGCTTGAAGTTTCAAATCAGTTTCGATTATTCAAATATAATTTGTTTTTCAGCTTCAGTGGATATTATCTTTATATTGTTTGTTGGGTCGGTTTTTAAAACGCATTTTTCTCATGCCTTGCCATTCATGATATTAGGTTTGAGAAATCAACATATATGTGTTTTGTTTTGTTTTTTGTTTTACTCGGTGATGTGTATATAATAATTATGGGTTTTAAGTCCTTATAGTTCTTTGGTTTGCTGACCCAAGCTGTGCTGATGAGCCTTGAACAGGCGAAACTGCAGTCCACAGCAGAGGGAATGGCCAATCGAAGAATGTATCAGGCCTCTATGTCACATATTCTTTTTTCAATTTTACCTTTGGTGAAAAAGAAAATATATTTGTAGCATATATAAATAATCATTGAGCTCTTACTCAAATTCTTCTTTTCTTTTAATACATTATGAATATTAACAAAACATTTACTTTACTGACTTATGCTATTCGATTTTGGCCGATGTTTACCTCGAAAAATCTCCCAAGACCACTCGATAATTGTATATTCCAACACTGTAGGCCTAATCATTTCGGCACCAATTTCCAAGAGTTCGGTTACATATTCTAACCAAAACACAGTTATTCTTTATGTAAATATTATGTTTTATAAATATTTCAGTGATGAATTGTACATGAATTTATATTTAAAATAAATGAGAGAAGGTTCAAATATGATAACCGATGTATATTGTAATACAGTCAAACTGTCGAGGTTATAAAACATATAATGGTTTTAACTTTGTGACTGGAAGAAAATATTTATTAATACTATGCAAAAATAACAACGTAACTTTACTGGAAGTCAATATTAATCTTGGCGTGTTTAATTTTTAACCCACCAATTCATATATTCCTAATGGAATTTAAGAACCAAAACGCCAAACAAATTTAATGCAAAATAATATTGATTGTTACAGAAAAAAGTACTTTTCTGTCATTTCGAATTGTCATGATATAAAATACTGTCTGGTTTAAATATTAGTGCTTAATTTATATTTGCGAGTGACTATTTTTATTATTTTTAAGTTTTGTTATAATAATAGTTAAAAGCAGACGATTGTAGAAGGTTTTGTTAATAACTTATTGGTGTCGAGAATATAGAAAGTGGCCAGACGGCTAATAAAGATATAAATAGCGTGAGACGAGCGGTAAGCAGTAGACAGACAACAATGGACAGATAACAGGAAAAGAAAATACAGTTGTGTGAAGTTAAGTACGCAAAGGTGATAGGCCTAACGTTTAATATGTTAAAGTGAAACTAACAGTTTAAAAAAAGATAAGAAGGATAATTTTATTCCATCAAAGCGTGGTTCTAAAGTAATTGAATCAGCCTGGGTACACTTTGACAAAAGGAACAGAGGATCTTCAAAAGAAAGAAGACCAAACGAATTACGGTAACTTGCGCTACAATTGTAAGTGAATCACACACAGAATACTAGTACAATAGTAATAAAAAAAAGATAGTTCGACTTGTCAACCGAAATTCTAAAGTAATTGAATAGGCCTAAGTGGACTTTTGACAAGAAGAAGAGACCTATGTATATAAATAGTGTTTATGATATGCCTGTGAGAATACTTTGTTGTACATACTTTTAACTTGTTCCGAATATATGTATAGTATTTGAAAACAAGTAAAG